CCTAATATCTCTAAATAGTCAGTAATGCCTCAGGGAGGGATATGGCCCATGAGCCAATTCTCTGTCCTTGACAGGTCAGTCTTGTACAGGCCCAGTGCAGGCAAACTCCACTGTTGTGAGAACAGGTTCCAATGACTGTCATGCAATGAAGGTAGTATTTCACAGTCCCCTTATGATCCAGCTCATGCATTCTTTCTATCCATATCCAGTATAGTATTCCCTGAGCCTTACAGGGGGGTGATATAAATGTCCTGTTTAGAACTGAGTGCTCACTATTCTCAGCACTCTGAACAGCCACGAGTCTTTGTATTTGCCACTGTTCAAAGAGAAGCTTCTCTGATCAAAACTGAGAATAATATTTGGTATTTGTCAATGGGCATAAACATTATTGAGAAAGCATAAATTCATACTTTTGATTTTAAAAACATTTATATTGCTCTTCATCTTACACTTGCAAAAGTATTATTTGATCCAAATATTGAGCTTGATTTTCATCACCATTGATAGCCATCTCTTAAGTACCAAGCTACTTCTCCAATTTAGGTCATAATCAGATTTTACCTTTTTAAATATTTATGTGAACCTAATTGTGTTTATATGTGTATTTTTGGGTGTGAGTGTGTACGTGTGTGAAAGCAGGGGCCAGTGCATTGCAAGTCTCTGATCTCTTGAAGCTGGAGCTATATGCAGCTGTAAGCAGTCTGATGTGGGCACTAGGGGCTGAATTTGGTTCCTGAGCAGCACCTGCTCATAGCTGAAGAGCTGTCTGCCCAATCCTTGCCATGTTGTTTTTTAAAATTCTGCAGCTCAATATCATCACTAGATAAAACAGTTGCCATGTGAGTGCACCTGAAAATCACTAGCCAAAGCCCTGTGTCAATCACTTTCCCTTCAGTCAGAGAATTCTGTCCCTGTACATAATCACTTCATACAGAATTTGTCCAAATCTATTGATCTGGTTTGTAAATACAGAGGATAAAATAAGCTGTGAGCCCCTACACACTGGATCCAACTGTCAGTCCCACCAGTGAGTGGTTTTGCTTGCTTGTTTGTGGAATGCTACTTTCTGTGTAAATGAGTAATGGGATATGATGCTATTTAAAAAGATAAAGTCTGAAGGACTAGCAGCATGTGTGGATCCCCCATCATTAAAGAAAGAAATGATAGTTTCCCTGCTGATTTGCCCTTCCTAACTAGAACATGATGAATGGCTGCTGGTGCCATCAAATCTCTTTCCTCCACCACCTTTATCTTCTTAAATGTTATGATTACAGTGCTGTTTCACATAGGATTCACCTTTTTAAACACATTTGTAAATGTGTGACACATATTGTTGACCTGAAAAAGTTGTGTTTTTGGATTTTGTTCAATTAAACTTTTGTATCTATTTATTGGCAATTCTCTACTTCCATCCTTCAACACCTAGCAACCACTATTACTTATTATAATATTTTATTTATTCTTTAAAGTCTTCATACATCTTACATAATTTATTTTGATCATGCACATCCACCACTAACTCTCTCCAACTCCTCCTACTGCCCCCATTCCATCTTCCAACTTAAGTCCTTACTTTGTTGTTACTGTTATTAATGACCCCAAGTCCAGTCAGTAGTTCCCAAGTATATATGAATGGGGCCATCCACTGGGCCATTGACTAACCTATTAACAACCATGTCCCCAAAGGAGAGTGACTGCCCCTCCCTCAACAACCACTAGCTTCCAATGGCTGCTCCCACAAGGGTGAGGCCTCTGTGATACTTCCTCCCATTCAAACTGGAAATTCGACTGACTTCATATTGTGCAGGTCTTGTGCAAGTAACCACAGCTGCTGTAAGTTGATATATGCAATAGCCATGTCCTGTCTAGAAGTCAATATTTCACAGCTTTCTTCCTCATCCACTAGCTTTTACATTCTTTCCATTCCTTCTTCAGTGATGATCCTTGGACTTTGGATAGGAGAGGTTAATATAAATGATTCATCCACAGCTGAGCTCTCACAGTTACTTATGCTTGATTCTTTGGTGAATTTTGAGTTCCTTAATTAACTGTTACCCACTGAAAAAAAAAAATAAGCTTCCCTGACCAAAGTTGAGTACTATGGGTGTAAACAAATATTCAGAAGACAATTTGACAGCATAACTACTTAACATAGTAACAATAGTTTCCCCACTAGGGCCTGTGATCTCCCAAGTCACGGGATTTTGACCAGATTTATAGTACCAGGCATGAAATCTCTTCTGTGGAGCAGACCTCATATGGTTAGTTGTTCCTATAATATTCATACCACTGTTGCAACAGTGGGCATGTCTTGCTGGACAGGGACTAGGACAAACCACTGACGCCTTTTATCTCCCAGCAGCCTGTGTAGAAACTTTTGGCACTATAAAAGCTAGCTAATGGGGGAATAATTCCCTGGTCAGTCAAGACAACCACTATTTCTTTGATTCTAAAGTTTACCTCTCTTGTGTTCCTCATCTGTAAGAGAAATCATGAACATTTTTCTCTCTGAATCTATGATTTATTTTACATAGTGTAATACATGTCTTCAAGTTGATAAATATGACAATATTTCTTTCTTGTTTAAAGTTGAATTGTACATATTGTATGTATAAAACATTTTCTTTGTCCATTCATCTGCCATGGATGTTGAGGTGTTTCCACAGATTGGTCATTATAAATATTGCTACATATAACATTCAAATCAATATGACAATTCCTCAAAAATAGAGTTACTATTGCTTCACCAATCCAATTTCTGGATATTTCTACAAAGGAATTAAATTAGGAGTCTTCCTGATTAAATCTTCATTTTAATATGTTTTGTTAGCTTCTTCTTTACACTAATTTAAATCACTCAAATTCTTAAAATTCATTTTCTGTCTCTTCTTTTAATGTCTGAACTGCAGAAGAGTCTCTCCTACTTTCTACAAATTGTCCTACGTCCTGAGAAGGTCTTAGCAACTTTACCTGAATATTTTCTGAGATTTTTGGGGGAGAAAGGTGTGGAAGTTCATTTGATTTTGAAATGTGTTATTTGGGGTTTTTTTAGTCTTTCTTAGGAGGCCCACAACCCAACTCCCAAATAAATCACACACACAGAGGCTTATTATTACTTATGAATGCCCAGCCTTATCTTGGCTTAGTTTCTTGCTAGCTTTTCTTAACTTTAATTATCCCATCTACCTTTTGCCTCTGGGCTTTTTCCATTCTCTTACTTCTGATTTGCTGTGTAGCTAGGTGGTTGGCCCCTGGAGTCTTCCTCCTTCCTCTCTCATTCCTAGATCTCCCTTTCCAGTTTTCTCCTATATATACTCTCTGCCTGCCAGTCCCACCTATCCTTTCTCCTGCCTCACTATTGGCCATTAAGGTATTTATTAGACCATCAGGTGTTTTGCAGAGGCACAGTAACACATATTCACAGAGTTAAACAAATGCAATATGAACAAAAGTAACACACCTTAAAATAATATTCTGCAACAGAAATATTGAGAATTTCATGAACTCTCTTCACATATCTATCATCTCTTACCTCATCTTCATGTCTTTGACCTGTCCTTCAACTGTGAGCTGATTATTAGGACGGTGGGTGTAAGGGCACTTCTGTATGCTAAGTCCTTTATGTTTATATCAGCATGGTGTGCAGTCCTGTGCTTTCCCAGACCAGTAGTTTCAGTCCACGTAGTTCTCCACCTTCTGTAGGCCCTCTTACCAAAATGTCTGGGGCCCTTACTACCATCTGGTCATGTTTCCTTTCCTTTCCTGCATTTCCTGTACTTGTTCACTTTAAACCTGGGTTCAAATCTGTGAAAACTCATTAGTTTACTTAGGAAAAATCACTCATTTCTTCCTTTCTGAATTTTTAGTTCTCTTGTTTCCATTTTTTATGAGATTGTAACTATTACCCCTCTCCCCTTCCAAGTTTTTTTTTCTTTTTTCTGTTCCCTCCCTTGGAAGTTTCTGCATCTACTTTTTTATATTTAAGAATGTGTATCTGACTTCACAGAATTGTTTTCCTGAACATGTCACTGTCACCATCTCTGTATAGTGTTCCTGTTAGAGCGGAAAAGGGGCTTCTGACCAGTTAGTATTACCAAGATTTTTTTCAGAGCTGAGTTAGTAAACTGTTTCTCTGTTTCCAGAATTCTTTCTCTTGGATTTTTTCATTCATTCATCTTCAAATAGCATTTAACAATATCTGTCATAGATTCACTGTCAAAATCCTCTGATCATCACAGATCTTGCCAGGAGAGTGATTCTCTTAACTTCACACAGTAATCTGCTGCATTAATTCTGTGTGAGGTGCATATAGGAAACCTGTGTTGAAAGGTACTCCCTTGGGAGCATTTCCAAACAGAACCATGTGAGAACAGGAATAAGGATAAACTGTTGGTCATTTTTGTGAAATCAAATCTTATTTATTCTCCTATTGTTTGTTTGTATGTGTGCCAAATGAGTGGGAATCCAAAGGTACATTTCTGTGTAACAACTCTTCACATTTTTGTGTCACTGGAGATGGGTTGATTGAATGTCCATAGCTTGTTCTCTTGCTTGATTGCTCTTTCAGTCAAATCAGGGCCCAAGACCTGGGGTATCTCAAATTTTAGGCATGAGTATGGCACAGACAAGCAATTTCAGTGTTTTGTTACTATTTGAGTACCCATGGTTTAATCATACTACACATTCTCTGTACCTGGTGGTGTATTTTTCACATTAGCTGTTTCTTGGGGCTTGCAACCTGGTTCAAGTCTTATTTCACTTCCCCGGTATGTAATGAAGTGAAACATAGATTAGCATATGCTTACTCAGTATTAAGGGTGAGTTTTTAAATATTCCTGATGGACAGTGAAGTACAGTTCTCAGCGAGACTGTTAGCATTAATGATGAACCCTAACTCCTGGTCCCAGGTGCTTTAAGTTAGACTTGGTGAAAGTCAAATGTTAAGCAGCAGCGAGTGTATTTTACTGTTTTCTTTATCTGCCCTGCTCTGCTCACTCCAGGGCTGCATATGATTGCTCTATGGCAAAGAAGAGGAGAGCTGAAGAGCAGGCACTGGGAGTGCCAGTTAACAAGAGGAAATCTCTATTAATGAAACCCCGACACTACAGCCCAGACATGGACTGCAAAGGAAACCCAGACAGCAGGAATGAGGATGATGGCCTCTTAGAAACGAATGATCACTCCACTGCAGGTAGCAAAAAGGCATGGCCCAAACTTTATATATTCCTGTCACCAAAAGTCATTCCTAGTCTGTGGAGAATATATAGTTACTGTGGCCGTTAAAGTATATTTGGCTTTGGAAACAAAAAAAACCAAACACTTGTTTCACTCAATATTCACTTATTAAGGTGCTATTTGTTTTAATCAGATTCAATTTAGGATCTATAGACACAGCTTGACTATGGCCTGGACTCACTTCAAGTAATGGTTGAGTTATGCCTGTAGCTGAAGTTTTTGTATGCCCCTCCTGGCCCACAGTCAGGACAATTCTCTCTTACCCGCAGGTCCTGAAGCTACTTGGACCCAAATAAACACACATAGGCTAATATTATTTTTAAACTATGGCCATGGCAAGCTTCTTGCTACCTAGTTCTTATATCTTAAGTTATAACCCATTTCTATAGATCTATACTTTGCCACGTGGCTTGTGTCTTACCAGTACTTTTACATCTTGCTTCTCATGGCAGCAGCTGGCAGTGTCTCCTCTGCCTCTTCTTTCTCTTCCTCTCTATCTGTTTGGATTTTCTGCCTGCCTCTAAGCTGCCTTGCCATAGGCCAAATGGCTTTATTTATTAACCAGTCAGAACAACGTATATTCACAGCATACAGAACGACATTCCCATCATATGCCTCTTTGTGTAGAAAGTAGAAGACACTAAGCCTTAAAGCTAAAGAGTCTGTCTGAGTAGATAGCTAATTTTTAAAAGAATCCTTCAAATTATAGGACATATTTAAGATTTAAGATAACTTTCCAATGATAAAGGTCAATGTAATGTTCATTAATGATATGTATACACACACATATTTGTTGTCTATATATACAGCTAAAACATTAACACATATTTTTATGAATATGTATAGCATTATTTAGCCCCAAAATATAATAGTAATAGTATGACTCAATGTAAGTGTTCTGTAATATTAATATTTTTACATATTTAAAATAATACCTAGAGCAATAGATTATAGAAGTGACCTAAGGTTATTACCCTTGAGGCTTCTTCAGTGGGAGAATAATAGAAAAGATACCTCTGTGCTCTTATTTATAAAATAAACCCTTTAAGCTTATCTTTATAATACAGTATTTCAATTCGTTGCTCACTCTTCAGACATCCTTTACAGGATGAGTGAAATGTAGCTACTGCTATAAGGACTTAGAGTTTATGTCTTCCCAGTTCTCAGTTGCTGGCAATCACTTGCATCCAGGAGTTGAAGTGCCATTGATTGGTTTGTGCATGAGACTAAGGTGTAAGACATGCAAAAATCTCAAAAACATATGAAAATTTTAAGATATAAGGCTTGACTAATAAAGACTAGAATTAGACATGCACATATCCTATTGACTATATACCCTTTACTGAATGTGACATTTAGGGAATCAATATATAATAATAATAATAAGTAAATGATTTACTTGAAAACTTAAACAAATATAAGGTAGTAATATTTATAAATCATATATTTATAAGTAGAATTCTATAAATACCTCTAAATATTATTTTTAAAGGTATAAAAACATATTGACTGAAGACAAGTTTCAGGTCAGAGAATCTTCATTATCTTGGCTAAGTATTGAAGATTCTGTGGTTGTCTTCTGATTTGTACATGGATAATGATGTTTTTAGGCTTTCTCAAATTTAGTATATGATTTTAAGTATCAGGGCTCATATTTAAATTGTAATCATCTAACTTTTTCTGTTTCCACTTTTATATATTGATTCATAGACATGACAGATGGAACTTGATCTTAGCACAAGTTCTTAGACCATTATGGATTTGAGGTCTATCCATGCAGCTTGTCCATGAGCCAAAGGCTTTATTAGGTCTACAGACCTCCCACCTTCTGCTCTAACAAGTTGATCATCATAAATGCTTATTATCAATTAAGTGAATATTGTTCAAATATATGCAGTAAAATATTCAGTCGTAAGCACTTATAGACATCTATTTGCAGGCTTACAAAGGCTAATTGTTGCAGTTAATATTAGAGCTACTACTGATAGTGATGTTGGAATCACCATGGTGATGATTAATTTTCCACTCTTTATGTATTTCAGACACTTTCAATGGTACCATTTAGTCCATTTTACAATGTCACACAGTGTGTAGAAACCTGGTCTTGGTTTTACAGATGAAATTACTAAAGACCAAGGAGAGTTAATTCTGAAAGTAGCACAGATTGCAGACTAGAGAGAAAGCACTTAGTAGACCATCTAAAGAACAAGCAAAATAACTCTATCCCAGTTAGCTGTGCCCTGTAGGCTCAGTTCTCCTTGCCCATATTCCCCTCAGAGTGCATACTGGGCAGAGTTCTCACAATGTCTACATGAAGTTGCAACTTCTAAAGATGACAGGTCACAAATGTTTCTAGCCTAGGTCGACAGAGAAAAGATTTTAACTTGCCTTCAGCTTCTGCAGAATTTTAAGCACAGGCACAGAGGGAGAGGTGGCGAAGGCTAGCGCTCGGTTCAACAGAAGCGCACCTAATTTCAATGCTCCTCTATTCCAGGCACCTCATTAGTTTTGCCTTAACATGAGTGTGTCTAGGTATAGCTTCAGCTATACTGCTCAGATAATGAGAGTATAAAGGACTCATGAAGGCTAAGGTCATGCTTTTGAATCCTGTGTTTCATTCCTTTTTATGGCCCAAACTTTACTCCACACTCTAACCTGACTCCAAAAAGCTACATGTGGGCACTACGGTAGGTAGTTAGAAATCCTTTCCCCCATGGGGAGGTGAACACCAGGAAGAAAGACTAGCTCAGACTCCTGGAACAGACAGAAAATGAGAGTCATCATGAGTTCAAAGTATACCAGTTGTGGAGTTCCCAGTAGCATGGTCCATATGCTTAGAACCTGGGAATGCCTGCCTGAAACACAGAAGTTTCTAGGAGATGAAATTATCCTTTTAATATGTCACCTTCAATAAAAAAATAAAGAACAAATCACTCCAGGCTCAGAATTTTAGAAAATAAATTCATTTTTCTATTTTTTTTTCCTGCCAAAATTTCACATTCAAAAGTTCTAATAAATGAGTTTACCTGTATAAGTGTCCTCACTGGTTACAGAAACAGAACTGAACTCAATGTCCATAAAACTGAGTCACACTAAAGAGCTCATTCCAAAATCAGTGGTGTTTTTCAGAGGAGAGAGAGAGAGAGAGAGAGAGAGAGAGAGAGAGAGAGAGAGAGAGAGAGAGAGAGAGGTGAAAATTCACTAACTATATATAGGATTACCAACCACTCATCATGGAAACCTGGTTTGTAGTCAGGAAATAAAGAAATAAATGAGCTTTTATATACCAGACCAAACCCTTTTTCTTTAAAAATTCTACACAAAAGAAAGTTTCCCAGCCAAAGCCCCTTCCCACCAAACATGCTTGGAAGTTCACACAGGCCAGAGAAAGGCTTAGGCCATTTCTAGAACTGCCAGCCTGTTCCCTGCTGGGAATTGACTCTAGGGTTCTCAATTTGCCATCTTTGTGATACTAGCAAAGTTAAGGTCTGGGTTGTATGAGAGTTTTGTGGTTTTGTAATTGCATATTTTGACCAATAATTTAAGGATCATTGTTCTTTCCAGCCTAAGTTAACTGGAAGTAGATTCAAGTGTCTTACTATAAATTTATTATGGAAAAGATTTCAATTTGGAAAAGTGTTTGGCTATTAATATTCTTAGTGTCTTCTCCTAAGAATGACTCTGTAACATGAGACATCTTAGCTAGTAAGGCTTTCTAGGCTGTGGGATACTTGTAGTATGTAACAGAAACAAGGATACAAGCCTCAAGCCATATGGCCCTTGGTCTGGACTCAGCCCTCTACTTAATAGCTGTGTGGTCTTAAGCAAGCCCTGGGAGACCTCTGTGAGATGGACTGGAAAGCACTTTGTAGTATTGTGAAATAAAGAATGGGGCACTACACTAGGCACATCACATTCATTGTCCAAAGAAGGGTTGCAGGTTCATCTAGTCATTGGCCTGTCCTCATTCTGAAGATGAAAACCCAGGCTCCAGAAAGCAAGAGCTGACTAGAGTCATATAAGCAGATGGTGCCTAGCCAGTGGCATATGTAGTCTCTAGACCTCACATATTTGTGTATTGTGCCCCAGCTTCTAGCTCTGAGGGGCAGATACCAGTCTGTGCTGCAGTCCTCAAAGGCCTATGCGGTCACCTTGCTGAGCTTTCCTCTCTGTGGCCTCCAATGTTCCTTAGGAATGACTTCTACTGATGAAAGTAGGCCAACCCTGTTGTTCATGTTGAGGTGCCCCCTAGTCCCCTGATGTTAGTCTTTGAAAACAGCAGCTGAGGAGCAGGAGGAAGCCATCATTTACTGAAGTGCCTGTTGTGTGCTCCTGCGATCTCTGCAGTAATGCACAGGCTGGGCTGCTGTCCCCACAGTGCAAATGCAAACTCCGGGCTCTGATGGGCTGAATAGCCTGTCCAGCAAGCATAGACACTAACAACAGAGCTCAAACTCCACGCCTCTGCAACAGACCTTACTACTCTTCAGAAAAATAATACTGCAGAGTAAAGAAAAGAGAGAGCCAGTGGCAGGGCTGAGAGAAACAGCACCTTGTCTCAGATCTGTCATGTCAAATGCTAACTTAGGGTTTTTCTCATGCCCACAGTGAAATCTGGGAAGGCTTTTCTGAAAAAGGAATGTTGATTTGTGGTTTAGACTATCCCTAGAAACCAGTGTGTGTGACAGTGTGGGTACCCCTGGCTTGGGGTTTCTCTCTTTCTGAAGAACAATTAATAAATATTTTCTTTTAGCATATAACACACAGTTGAACCAAACAATGATGTAAACTGGAAATGACCCAAAATGTAAGCAGTTGGCAGTCACTCAACGAAGTGCATTGTCGCGCACATGTGTGAGTTCGTCACTCCGCCTCTCTGGTGATCTGCACTTAATAGGAATATTTTAAACTATGTAGCTAAGCAACAGAGGTAATTGTTGCTTTCTAGAGCTTTTGTTAGCACTCTAACACAGCCCAAATATGCATAATGAGGTATAATGTCTATAAATCATTATTGTACACATGTGGGTAGTTAAGTGGAGTGAGAGAATAGTTCAATGAATTGAGCATATTCACTGAAAACGCTTTTTATTTGTTTTCTGTAGTTCATAATACTTTAAAATTATCATAACCCTTTACACTTTCTCTTAATAGCCAACTGTGATATTGAGAAAAACTTCATTTGCATTTTAGACTATGTTTAATATATTATTTAAAGCTGGAGTTGCTCTGATACAGATTCAGGAGAGGATAGGCCCATCCTATCAATGTTATGTGCTTGTTTATCCGGCCTCTTTTCTAGGAACTGAAATGTTAAATTTTTCAGTTTGTGTTGAATAGATCCCAACAAAAGACTGCACCCTATAATCAGCATTATTTACAGGGGCTAGTGTTGTGACTGAATTCTTCTCTGCATCCAAAAATGCTTTTAGTTACTATGGCAATATTTACTTGATCCTGGCAGTCCAGTGTTGATTTAGGGAGATAATTACCAGAAAGGAAGATGATGGAGATGTATTTTTGAGTGTCCTTGTCAGAGACAATGTTTATAAAAAAATTGAATGAGACAAAAAAAGCTGCACATTGTCTTCCAAACAGACATCCTCTCCCACAGCTTCATGCTGATGGCTGTACTTTCCTCCGAAGATGTTTATTAACACAGAATGCACTTCACTTGGTGTCTTTGACAGTATTTAAGGGGGCTTATCATTTTGTGTTTCCCATCCCCCACCTGTCTTTGAAATGTAGGAATGGTTGTTTTTTTTGTTTGATTTTTTTTTGTTGTTGTTGTTGTTGTTGTTGTTCTGGTGGATGTTAGCAGACTCATGGTGGGCTGTTTGATCCATTTCACAAATGGTGTGCACTGAGAATCCATATGCTCATTTGGACAGTTTACATTGGGGTATCTTTGGTGAACTGACCATACATACATCATGCATACATGCATATATACCATACATTCATATATACATGCAACAAGACAAGTAAAGGGGTGGTATTGACAGCTGCTTTGGACTGGCCTGGGCGTTTGGAGGTCTGCTCTTAGTCACAGGACCCAAATTGCTCATATTTGACACCCTCAAACCAAGTCTACCTCATCTCCTTTACTTTATAACACAAATACATGCACATGTCAGACAAGAAAATGTATTACTATTTAAAATATTTAAGCCTGATATTTTCCCATTTATGTTTCCGTGAATATAGAATTGTAAGGTGACACCAAAAAGTGAGCAGAAAGATTTGAGAGCTTCAGAGTACCTCTGTCACAATCTGTGTAGTGGTCTTTGTATCTTTGTTAACATCACATAAAAGCTGAGACTATTTCTGAGAAACTACAGCAAATAGAATTCAAATAATCCCTAAAAATACTTGCCATGATCAAGAGAAATTTGATGAACATTTTTCTGCAGTGTGTAGCTTGCACATTCAAGTTCCTCCTGGCTGCTAAGATGTAGGAATGTAAGAGGGTGTAACAGCAGGAACCTCATGTGTGGTGCTGTGTTGCCGAAGTACCAACTTCAGTCATGACAGTACCCTAAAAGAACTTAGCTCTTCACATGCAAAAGATACAGAAGCACTAAACTTAACTTATTTCATTTGTATTTTTCTCATCAATGTTTGTAAAATTAATAGACATTACACATTATGCATATTTTGTAGGCATACCAGTATCTGTGTACATATACATGCAGATTTATACATATACATGTGTATATAAAGTCATATGTATATGAATAGTTATACAAGCTCCTTAAAGTACTTTTGACTTCTTGTTTGGTTAATTGGTTACTTTTTAGAGGTAGGAATCTCACTTGTGGTCCAGACTACCCTTGAACTTGCTAGCCTCTTACCTCTGATTCCTAAGTATTGGGATCATAGGCTCCTGCCACTATACCCAGGCCCTTTAAATATTTTTTTCCCAACATCTGTTTTCTTTTTTTTGTAGAGGGAATCATGGTAAAGCCCATGGATGAGACCCTTCATTCACCTGCACAAGAAAACTCACTCCAGAAGGAAGACCAATACATGTGTTATCCAGAGCTCATGGTTAAATCTCTAATGCACTTAGGCAAATTTGAAGAAAGTGTGACTATGCAGACCATAAATGAGAACTTAAATGACAGTGGCATCCAGTCTTTAAAAGCAGAGAGTGATGAGGCAGATGAATGCTTTATGATTCATTCAGAGGATGGAAGAGACAAAGTCCATAGTTCCCAGCCACCTTTCTGCTCTTCTGGTGATAGTGAAAGTGACTCTGACAGTGCAGAGAATGGGTGGGGCAGTGGCTCCAATTCATCAGAAGACACTGACCCTCACGGAGCCCACAGACACAAGCTGACATACAATAAAAAGGACCTGTTGGAGGTTTCTGAGATAAAAGCTGAAGGTGACAAATTTACCCCTTGTGAGAACAGGTGTGGTTCTGATATTGATGGTAGAGAGCCACAGAACTCCCACATGGAACCCTTGGCTGTCAAAGCACAGCCTTCGTTCCCAGAGGCTGAAGATGGTGAGAGCCTGGTCCCAGTTTCAGAGGAGCCTGGAGAAATGGAGAAAGCGAAGGGGAACCTGAGTTTGCTGGAGCAGGCTATTGCTCTACAGGCTGAACGTGGTTCTGTCTTCCATCATACCTACAAGGAGCTGGACCGCTTTTTCCTGGACCACCTGGTGAAGGAACGGAGACAAACCAAGGTTACTGATGCCAGTGGAAGACAAATCTTTAACAATAAACGTAAGTTCATTTTTATATTCATTGTAGGAGGAAAGTTGATTTAGAGTTTGAAAATGTTAAATGTGCCTATTCCTTCTAAATTAGCCATTTGACAACTTAATGTAATTTAAAAATCAATTTGTAATCATAAAATATGCCGTTTCTTACTTTGCAGCTACTCTTCTGGTTACTGTTAGCTTAGAGTCTATGGGTGCTATACTGTCTTAACACCTGAAACCTTTATCCCTTCTGATTTTCTCATTGAATTAGCTCTTCATAATCCCACCATACCTACCTTTTAACAGTGCTTGATTGGACATTTTCAGAAGACTTTAACTTATTTTATTAGAGAAATCAAGCCTATAATTTAATTTTTCTTTCTACCCTTTGTTGTGGGATTATGAAGCTGCTTTCAAGCTTCAAAATGACAGACATCAAGTCACTTGTAGACCAGGCAGGATGTTCTGAGCCTTCTTATGAGTAAACCAGGTGTTAATATATTTGTAAGATGGAGCTTTCCCAGCTTGCCCATGGAAGCCCACAGACAGCTGGATCGAACTTAAATTGTCAGAGGAAATGTGCTTGGGGAAGACCTTAGATTGCTTTTCCAACATCAGGGGCGTGACACATCTTCCCTGGTGGAGGACTAAGCCTGTTCTCACACTCGCAGCCTGTACTGTTTGTGAGTGGCTGTCCCAGTAGTCCACAGGTGCCCAGAGAAACATGGGTTATGTCCAGGGTCAAGTCAGATTCAGACTTCCAGTATAGTAATGACACAAGCCAGGCATTGCTTTAGTGGGACAGTAAGTTTGTGGAACTCGCCACGGAACATTTGCAGATGAGGCTCCAGTGTAACTACCTATCCTGTGGCACCTGTCAAGTAAGAGGAGCAAGAGGAACAATGGGGCAAGTCTGCTTGGTATGACGGAGGATTGTCCCAGGCAAACCAGGACACAGCAGCACTGGAGGATGAAGTCCGCTCATTGTGTAGTGCTATACAAAGAAAATGAAAGAAGAGGCAGGCTGAGCAGCTGCCCTGAGCCTGTGCTCGGGTTTCTTATCATGCAAACAGGTTCTGCCCTCCAGAGCATTTCATCTGCAGCTTTGTTTTGGGAGGCCCAGGAGAGAGGTGCAGACAAAGGTGCACGGTGGACTGTCAGTGGGCCCCACCTGGGCAGGTGCCAGCCCCGTTATCTCCAACACCCTTTCTGGCTTCACTCAGATACACAGTGTACTGAAGAGGGTAAGTGCTCACCGCCAGCCCTGTCAGTGCTTAGAAATGTGGTGTCATGTGGACGAGATCCAAGAGACGAAGCACATCAAAACAGACACCGTAGTTTATCTCCTCTCTGTGAGTGGCACTTTGCGATGGTGTCAAACCCCTCAGCTAATTTCTATCAAACATTGAAGACTTTGACCAGTGGCATACAGGTCTTATGTGCCCAAATGGACTTGAAATTTGGCATTATACTACTGTTAAGTAAAACTTGTATGCACAAAGTCATACAAATCACAATCTTAATATACTCTTTTTCTCTTACAGAGTACAGAAAGGAGCATCCCCCCACATCAGTCATTTTAGTTAAATCTTATCTTTACTTAACAAAGCTGTTTCCTGGGCATCCCTGTCCTTGGTTGTTCTCTGTGTACTTGAGCACTCAATTTTCAGCATCCTGACTTGTCCTGGACTGTCAGTGCTGGCTACAACCTGGAGGATCCTCAGCCCCTCCTTCTTTACTGAAACCATGCCCTCATGTAATTAGATTACACACAGCCTGCTGTGCCCCATCTGCCTAGGACTGCTTGTAATCTAACAACTGGAGTGATTTGGTATCATAGGGACATGTCTGCTCATGCAATGTAGTTCCATGGAGATTTCTGACACATTCCATGTCAGTGGCCTGTTCTGGGTGGTTTCCTTAGAGCAGAAGGGTATGGCCTTTCCATCCCCACATGATAGGCCCTTTCCTCCTACTCCAAGCCAGCAGCTTTATGAGCAGGGTCTTGTAGATTACCAATTGTTACCATGGGGCCTCAAGTTTGCTCAGTATTCTTGATGGTCCACATTGAGAGTTGCATATCCCTTATGAAGGCTGTTTTGCTTCTTTCTCTGAGGACTCACATACTTCTAGTTTTCTGACCAACACACGCGCGCGCGCTGTGCGCGCGCGCGCACACACACACACACACACACACACACACACACACAAATACACATGAATACACAATTTTTCCTGATCAGTATCCTGAGCACAATTTTGGGCAGTCTGGACCATAAGATTGCATTTCTGTGTCAAGTTTAATTAGCATCTTGGCCATACATGTATGGATGTGTATGTGTTATATGAATGTACATGTGTGCATGTGTGTATGTGCATGTATGCACATGGATGTGAATGTGTATGCATATGTGTATGCACATGTGTGTGTTTGCACAGGTGCATACATATACATGTGTTCGTGTGTGTGTGTGTGTGTGTGTGTGTGTGTGTGTATCTATGCAAGTGTGTGTACCTATGCAAGTATGTGTATATGTCTGAGAATGTCAGTGCCAACCTCATCCACATTGCTATTCTGCACTCATTTATATTATTCATTTATAAGCCTCTCTTGCCCTCAACACCCTGAGTACCAGTACTCCTGAGATTATCTTCACTTTTCCCATCTCAGGCTCCTATCCTGTGGCATCTGTCACACCCTCACAGGTCCTGAGTCCTCTGGTGTCTGGGAAGCTCCATTTTCTGCATTTCCCTCTCCTCAGATGCCCCACTAGAACATTTTCCTCCAAAGGCTTCTCCGTCACCTCAGCTCTGAATCTCTGCAGCAGTGACCACAGCTTCCCTCTGTGGTCACCTCACATACTGCTGAGATAGTCCTCACGGGATGCAGAATCTTGGGGGTGTGGTCACTTCACATACTGTTGAAATAGTCCTCAGAGGATGCAGAATCTTGGGGTTTTTTTGTTTGTTTGTTTGCTTTGTTGTATTTTTTCACTTGGTTGTGTAGGTTATAGCCTATTGATTCCCATCAGCTGCTCTGCAGGAAGCAAGCTCAACTTTTATGTGAGTAGCTGGTCCACCCCCAAATTCACCTGCTGCCAGGGACCCACAAGGACAAAGCCAGAGAGGCCTTCTGCCTGTATGGTGGGCTCTTTGTCTTATAATTTTAAATCTGCCTTTTTCTAAACTCTCTCAATAGAGGATAGCTTGAGGTTAAATAAATTCTCCTTTCTTGCTTTTCTTTTTTCTTTTCTTCTTTTCAGGAGCATGTTCACCTTCTGGCACATGGTGACTTTTTCGTAGTAGAGTTAACTATAATATGTGACATGACAACTTAAAATCATCTCTGTTGTTAACAGTCCCTTGCCCTGTGTCAGCCTTTGCTTACGAATCCAAGAAAACTAAAAATGCGTTTTGCTTCCATGGGTCTTAGTTGAGGGTTTTATTCAAAGGCACCGTAAGAAGAATGTTTATGATGGCAAAACTGAATAGTGTGATTGACACCGCAAGGCCACTCTATTGAATGATGAGGAAGAAGCACCATGTGAGTGTCTCAATTCAATTTCTCTATAGATTCACCAAGGCCTGAAAGGAGGGAGGCCAAGTGCCCCATCCCTGGCTGTGATGGCACAGGGCACGTAACTGGGCTCTATCCCCACCACCGCAGTCTTTCCGGGTGCCCCCACAAAGTGCGAGTTCCTCTGGAAAGTGAGTATTACTTATCCTGAGGACATACCTATGCCATCATACACCCAGGACAGCCTCACATGATTGTCCTGTGCTCCTTCTGGTTAGAATTAGGAATGGAAACATCACCTATTTCCATGTTTCTTTAAGCAATTTCCATGTAACCATGTGAGGTGTTTGTGTGTATTTGTTTGTTTCTGATTTTGAGATAAGGTCTGGCTTATGTAGCCCTGGCCTGCCTCTTCCTCTACTGTGCCCAGTTTAGCTATTGTTTTTAAAACATAGTGTATTAGAAAAATTCAGGAATAGTAATTTCAGATGCAGTGACCTCCTGACCTGCCCTCAACATGAGATCACATGCTCCTTGGAATTCTCTCAGGATGCCTTGTCACATCTGAGCCCCCCAGGGCAACAACAGCCTTTCCTCCTTCATACCTACCATAGTTCTTCAATGCCCTGGGCTGTAGAAGGAAAGGGAAGGACCAGCTGAGAACACTGGGCTGTTACATGATTTCTCATCTGGTTATTGGGACAGTTCTTGGTCTACCCCATGGGTGAAAGTGGGGACACTTTAAGATTCCCAGCTGTCATGACTTGGCAAGTCACTAGTTTTCTCGCCCACGCTAACTGTAGCATTAGCAGTTTCTCAGTCCAGCCTTCTGAGGCTTCACTTAGTCTTACTCTTCCCAGTAGTCATCTGGCAGGGGAGGGTGGATGGATAGATGCAAAATAACACCACTTAGGAAATAAAAAGGGCTACATACACCGACCTCCAGCTTACAGGGAAAGTATTGAAAGAGTTGTGTGGAAAAATAAGTTCTCTGCTGCCGTAGAGAAATGTACTTAGAAGGAAAAGTGGGAGTGATGAGTTTCTCAGGGTAGAGAAGCAGCAGACTCTGTCCCAGCATGAGTGTGGCCCCAGAAGCATACAGAACAGTTCCTCAATTGACTGTGAGCAGAACCATTTGGGGGAGGGGATCTATGTCAATACTGTTTGGCAGTCAGAGCAGTTTAGACATGATCTATCTTTGCGGGTTTCCTTTCTGAAGGAATAAGGTGCTTTGGTTCAGTACAAATTCATCCCAGGAAGAACCATGGTGGACTACCTATCTGAAGTCATTTGAATGTAAAATAGAAAAGTAAATTTGATGATGTGTGTATATGTTGTGTATGTATGTATAGTAAATTGTTCTTACCTTTAACATGATATTTTGTGCTTAGTTCTTGCCATGCATGAGAATGTGCTCAAGTGTCCCACCCCAGGATGCACAGGAAGGGGACATGTGAACAGCAACCGCAACACTCACAGAAGGTAATTCTGATGACTTACCAATCATTTATATTGCAAACTGCAAAAGAAACTTTCCACAAATGAAATAATAGGTCATGTGTTGAAAGAACTGTTATGTCACTATTAAATGTTACATCTTGAAATAGCTAACAAGTAGTCTCAATCTCAGGAAAATTTATATTAGTGGTCAACTAAAACAATGAAGCACTTGTATCTAAAGATGCTCAGGCTCCATGTCCATACAGCCACACACGGCATATTCTTTTCTGCCCTAGATCTTACCAGCACACGTGGATATTGGAGGCTGGCATCAGTGTTCCTTATGAGTTATCACAAATCCTACTCAGTAGACATTTAGATGGGTTTCAATGTACAGTACAGAGCTTTGAGTGTAAACCGTGCAAGGAGTATATGGCATTTTTATTAAAATTTAAGCTAAAATAAAGCACATTGTGTGTGTTTTTATATACAGATACATGCAATATACATATGGATATTTTAAGTGAAATTTTATTTTATTTTTACTGTGTATTTTTAATGTGTATGTGTGGTTTTTCCTGCATGTGTATCTCTGCACCACATCTGTGCAATGTCCACAAAGGCTAGAAGATGGTGTAGGCTTTCCTAGAACTAGAGTTATTGATAGTTATGAACTGTCATGTAGGTGCTGGGAATCAAACCCAGGTCCTCTGGAAAAGCAGCCAGTGTTCATAACCACAGAGTCATCTTTCCAGTCCTGATTTTTTTTTAAATTTTTCTGTGCACATTTCATATTACATGTGGGGTGTGTCGGTATGAGCTATGGTTTGGCTTATAAGAATATTGACAAAAGATTTCATATTTGTGCTTTCAATTTAACTAAGATATAAAATTTAGTCTTAAATTTTGCTAAAGTTCGTAAGATAATCATGGGTTTATCATGCTAATTTCTGTTGTCAGACAATTCTGTGTGTGAATGAACATATTGGATTTAAAATACTGAGTTTCAGAATCATTTTGGTATTTCCCCATTAAATAAAACTTTGATTTTCTTTAAATGTATTCACTACTTGTCATTTCTGAGATGGAGCTAGGGATCAAATGTAGACACTGCAGTTTGCAAACCCTTCGGGATCTTTTGTATGACAATGACGCTAAGTGAACTATTAATATGACTTAACATTTGCTGTGTGCCAAGGGTGCTGTGTGCCAGTGCCAAGGCAGACCACATTGTCATGCTCACTCACATCTTCCAACTCTTCTTTTTTGAACAGTCTTTCCGGTTGTCCAATTGCCGCAGCTGAAAAGTTGGCAATGACACAGGACAAAAGTCAATTTGATTCTTCCCAAACTGGGCACTGTCCTGAGCAGGCTCACAGGTATGAACGCTGTTCATTGGATCGAGCAGAAACTCTGTTCCACATGTGCTATTGTTCTGAGGGCTTCATGTCATGGTCAGGCACCAGTGCATTGATGTGGGTAGCCAGTGTGCAAGGCTAGGGAAGGCAGCATCATTCAGATGATCCAGTTAAACTTTCAGAAGTTTAACTTAAAGTCCCTATCTTTACAAGACCAGCATAATATTGGTGAACCTAAAGGAATGAAATATACAATCACATACATTAATCCAATTTCTCTGTCACTAATATAACACAAGGTAGGCTCCCATTTGTGACTGATTTCTTTTCTGCCTGGAGGAAACTCTATCAGGAACATTCAAAGTATGTGATTGTTTTGTGCTGTCTTTAGGTCCACATAGGCACAGGGCTTCCATGAAGGTAGCTAGTAACAAAGTGTCTCCCATGGTCCCTTGAGTGCCCAGGTTCCTCATAATATCTAGTAGTTTAGAAGATATCTTACATAAAATGAGTGTTGATACTTAAGGTAATAACAAGTTTATTCTGTAACAATCATGCATGTAGTAAAACTTATTTGAGAGGAAAGAAAGGTATCAAATAACTTGTTAATGAGCCACTAAAAATGCAAAAACAACTAGTAGGCATTTTAGTATTTCTAGGGTGTTCTACTTTGCTTTCTTGTGATAAAACACTCTACCAAAAGCAAAGTGAGGGAGAAATGGATCTATTTGGTTTATACTTCCAGGGCACAATCCATCATTAAGGGGAGTCAGAGCAAGAATTCAAGCTGGAGGCATGGATTAACCTAGAGAAATAACACAGTGGTAAAGACTACTGGATGATCTTGCAAAGGACTGGGGTTTAGTTCCTAGCACCCACATGACAGTGTCCAACCATCCATGACTTCAGTTCCCAGAGGTCTAGAACACTCTTCATGTAGGAAAAAAATTTATTCACACAAAATAAAAATTTAAATGGAAAAAAAATGAATTCAAGCAGGTACTGAAGAAGAAACAAAGGACCAGCACTACTTACTGGCTTGTTCTCTGAGCTAGCTTTGCTACACATCGCAGGCCAATCTGTCTAGGAATGGATGCTGCCTGCAGAGGGCAAGGTCCTTACACCAACCATCAATCAAGGCGGTGTCTCACACATGGCCCCAGGCCAGTCTGATCTGGACAGTCCCTCAGCTGAGGTTCCCTCTTCCAAGTAGACTCTAGGTTGTATCATGTTGACAATTAAAAAAGGGCGGGGGGGGGGGGGGGGGGGGGGGGGAGGGAGGGAACACACAGGATGTGGCTTCTCTTGATTTTTTTTCTACAGATTCAATTAAAAGAATCAAAACCAGCATTCAAGTCACATGAGTGAAAAACATCAAATGAAGATCACAAATTACTAAATATGTAGCAATAACAAATCTTAACATGGGATTCTTCGTTAGTATTGGAATGTTTTCTTGATTCTCCCTAAGTATGCTTATGAAAAGCTGCAATTGAATTTCTTGTATATTCATTGCTTTAGAAACTAATGTCATTTTAGATTAGAATATTTCTACAATTTTAGGGTAATAAACCAACTTACAGTTACATCCACTATTCCCTCAAGCATTTCTTTATTCAAAAACAATTTTTTTCATACAATATGTTTTGATTATATTATTTCCCCTTCCCCAGCTTCTCCCAGGTTCTCACCACCTCCTTACCCATTCAACTTCATGTGTGCTCATTCACTCTCTCCCTACTCTAAAAAAAACCTAAAAACCCAAAAAGTTAAAATCGAAATAAACAAAAAAACAGTAAGACAAAACAAAACAAAACAAAATATGTGCATGTACACACACACACATACTATGGCACACACTTACATACTATGGAGTCTGTTTTGTATTAGCCAATTACTCCTGGGCATGGCTGTGCCTTGGACTATATTGATATACCCAGTGACACTCCAGTGGAGAATCAATTCCAAATGGCTTCTACACTGGGGGTGGGGCTTGTGTCCACTTCCCCTTTTCTATGCTGCAATTTTGTCTAGTTTGAACTTGTTCAGATCCAAGCATGCTGTCACACTCTCTGTGAATTCATATGTGCATCAGTCCTGTTGTGTCTGGAAGACACTGTTTTCATAGAGTCACTTCTGGCTCTTACAGTCTTTTTACCTCTCCTATGTAGATCCCTGAGCCCTGAGGGGAAGGGTTTGATGAAGACATCCCATTTAGTACTGAGTGCTCAAAAGTTTCTCACTCTCTGAAACTTTTGCCATGAAAGACTCACACACTAGACCAGGTGTGAGTCTCTGTGTTAATTCCAATCTATTTCAAAAAGGAATTTCTCTGATGAGAGTTGAGCAATACTCTGATCTATGGGTATAGCAGTATATCATTAGGGGTCATTTTAGAGCTACATTCCTTTAGCATAACAGTATTATTAGATTTTCCCATAGATACATGACAAATCTATTCTAAGCTTCCTGACCACTTTAGCAGAATCAGAAATGTGCTCCAACTTATGGAGTGGGCCTTAAAACCAAAATGTAGTTGGTTACTCCTATAACATTTGTGCCACTATTTACTAGTATGTTTCATGCAGGTCACTGATGTCAGTTGCAGGATTATAGCTGGGTGATACTATTATTTTTGTTCTCTGGTAGTGTGCAGAATACCGTGCACCATAAATGCTAGCCAGTAATAGTGAAGCTTTCAGTTAGGCACCAGCTTAATTTTTCAATAACAGAGTGTTGTATTCAACAAAAGTCTTTACAATCAGGTTGTAAGGAGTAACCAATAAACTTAGAAATCATCTATTATGCCTAGGGGTGAGGGTGATCTATAGGAACCCTTTAGCCCATTGGGTCAATAAAATGTGACCCATTCCTAGCACTGAGGATTTTACTTTGTGGCATGCGATGTTTAATTGGGGGCATTGTTTCCTACACTATATGGTAACTTCAATAAATTTCTCTTTTTTCTTATATTCATATATATTTTAGAAAGCTCCTATAGTAGTAGGTTTCCTTATGACTTTTCAAATTGCCTTTAGTGTTAATTGTTCCTCCTCATACTTCTTCCTTTACCCTGACCTCTCATCCCCCTCTCACCTTAACCCTCCAATTCTAGCATGTCCTTTATCTCTTTATAACACTATATTCTATTTCCCCTTCCTTGGAAGATACCCTCCTCCTCCTTGGACCTAACCTAACTTCTGTCATTATTCTAATTAAAACACACATAACCATGTATAAGAGAAAATACAGTATTTGTCTTTGGGGGTCTGGGTTATCTCACTCAGAATAATTGTTTCTAGCTCTATCCATTTACCTGCAAATTTCATAATTGCATTCTTCTTAATAGGTGAATAATATTCTATTGTATAAATGTACAACTTTTCATTATTCATTCTTCAATAGATTATTTTCAATTTCTGGCTACAATGAATCAATGCACGTGAGTGAGCCCATATCTCTGTAGGATGAAGAGTCCTTTGGATATATGCTCAAAAGTGGTACAGCTGGAACTTGATGGAGAACAATATTTAACTTTTTCAGGAACCTCTGCACTGATTTCCATAAATGCTGTACCAGTTTGTACTTGCATCAGTAATGAATAAATGTTCCCCTTTCCCTGAATCTTCACTAGAATGTGATGCTTTGTTTTATTGATCTTGACTATTCTGACTGGGGTAAGATGAAATTTCAAAATAGTTTTGATTTGCATTTCCCTAATGACTAAGGATCTTCAAAATTCTCTGAATGGTTTCTCAGCATTTGAGTTTCATCTTTTGAGAATTCTCCTCTTAGCTTTATATTCCATTTTAACTGAGTTATTTGTTTCCTTGGTGTCAAGTTTTTTAGCTCATATATTTTAGATATTAACCCTCTTTCAGTTGTACAATTGCTAAAGATTTTTTTATTCCATAAGCTGACACTTTACTTGAATTATCATGTCCTTTGCTGTACAGAAGTTTTTTAGCTTCATAAGATTACATTTATTAATTATTGATCTTAGTGCCCACACTATCAGTATCCTGTTCAGAAAGTCTTTTCCTCTGCCGATGAGTGCCTGCTCCCCACTTTCTCTTCTATCAGATTCATACTTGGTTTTAATAATGAAGTGCTCTTCTTTCTCTTGTCTATTGTGATTGTTAGTTTTGCTGGGCATAGTAGCCTGGCTGTCATCTGTGCCCTCTCAGAGCTTGTCCATGCCTGTCTAGCTTTCAGAGTCTCCTCTGAGAGGTCAGATGATAGTCTAATAGCTCTGCCTTTATATGTTACTTGATCTTCTCCTTGCAGCTTGTAATATCCTTTTAACATTTTGTACATTTAGTGTTTTGATTACTGTGTGTTGTGGGGAGTTTCTTTTCTGATCCTACCTCTTTGATACTTGTTGTGCTTCTTGTAATTTTATAGTCATCTCTTTCTTTATATTGGGGATATTTTCTTGTATGATTTTCTTAAAAATATTTTCTGTGCCTTTACTTGGGTTTCTTCTCCTTCCTCTATACCCTTTATTCATGGGCTTGGTCTTTTTGTGGTTTTCCAGACTTCCTGAATATTCGTTCTGTTTTTTTCCGTTTTTAAAATTTAATGTTTTTTTTTTGACTGAGATACCCACTTTTACTACCTTGTCATCAAGATGTGAAATTCTCTTTTCTATGCTTTTAATCTGTTGGTGAGGTTTAGCTCTAAGGGTGGTGTTTTGATATCCTAAGTGTTTCATTCCCAACGTTATTTTAGTTTAAGTTTCCTTTAGTGATTCTCCTTGATTTTTTGTTATTGTTGTTAAATTCTTTCATGTCTTAAATTATTTTCATTCAACTGTTTGTTAGTGGTTTTTCAGTCTTCATTAAGGCATTTATTCATATCCTCATTAATGTCCTTAAAAATATTTATAATTTATATTTTGAAGTCCTTGTCTTCTTCCTTAGCTAAGTTGCATTTGTGTAAGTCTATTGCAATATGGCTTCTAGCTTCTAAAAGAGGCATGTTTTCATGGTTGTTCTTGTTTGTGATTTTGTCCTGGGATCTAAAGATCTGGAGTTAGGAGTTTTGAGTATTTCATGGTACAGATATCTGGTCTCATCCTTTTTTGGGTGAGTGTTCCAGTCCTTGGTTTCTGTTGCTTAATCTGTATCCTAATCAAGTGTAGTGGCTCTGAAATCCCTGGTAGAGAGCTATTCAGTGGGTATCAGGAGTCACAAAGCAAGTTAAGAAAGGTTGAGAGTGATGTTGGGAAGAACTAGGAGGACCCTGGGCCCATACCAAGAGGCTTAGTCACTAGGCATGGAAGTGGACTCTTGGGTTGGTTATTGGCAGCATCAATAATAAGAGTAAGTCTAGGGGGACTGGTGTGGAGGACAGGGAAGAAGATGTAGGTTACTTGCCTGAATCTCAGCCTAGTGTGGTAGCTGGGAGTCATCAGAGTCAAAGAGGAGTAGAGACTGCCTTCAAGGAAAAGCTGAAAGAACTGGGGAGATCCTGGTCTGCATATGAATCCCTCAAATATTTTTAATGTACAATTTGAAAAGTTTTACCCAGTCCACAAGTTATCACAAACATTTTCAACATTTTATTTTGTTGTAAAGTGAAAAATACTTTTTATTCTGAAAATCCTGAAAGGTGTGTTTGTTTGTGATCTTTGACACACAAACCATAGCTAAGCAGAATTATACTTTGCTTGGCCAGAGCTTGCTGCTCAGGTACCATGTTCCTGTTTAGTTCAGACACACAAAAATCTACAGGACTATTTAACTCAAACTTAGAGTAAAACAATTATATTAAAACTCTATGAGTATAGAATATAGTAATTTAGATACATCTTGAAATAATGACAGTTTAATACATAATACACATAATGACAATACATTTAATACCTCTGCATAAGGACTAAATACCCCTTTTTTACTGGTAGCAGTCCAGACACAGAACATGGAGCAGCAACATAACCAGACTCAGCCCAAAGCATCCCCCTCTCACTGCATCTCAGAGCATCCACTCTACTGTGAGCACATCCTCTCTAAATGCTGGGTAGTGTCTCTGTGAACTGTCAGGCAGTGGCAATTCCATCTACTCTAAATCCTGACAACAATTTCTATTTTCTTCAAACTACTTCTTGCCTCTTACCAGGACGAATTTGGTGAAGCAAATTGAATTTAACTTCCGCTCACAAGCCATCACCTCTCCAAGAGCTGCTGCATCAAAAGAACAGGAGAAGTTTGGGAAAGTACCATTTGATTATGCCAGTTTTGATGCACAAGTTTTTGGTAAACGTCCTCTCCTACAAACAGGACAAGGACAAAAAACACCACCATTTCCTGAATGTAAGCTTCAAATTCAAAACTTAACACTCATTACCCTAAAATGCATCTTGTGTATAAGGGGAGGGGGGTTATAAATTTAAATATAAATATTAAATGTGCTCTCTATAGATGACAGGAAACAATAGTGAAATAAGTAAGATAACCATTAGTACTAATTTTATATCAAAGTTACACTGAATATTTTATTAGTTATTTCACAGATAGTACCATTATTGAATCTAAATATAACAGTGCTGAAAAGATAATTAGGATTGTGATTAATATATTGAAAGCTATGACAGCTGTTATACTATATTATTTTAATTCATGTTGTGGTTGTGGCAATCTAATAAGATGAAATATGTAATACTATTTAAAACATTGAAATCATCAAAAGCCATCAGACTGAAGGTAGGGAAAGCTGAAAAATCCCAGAAAATCATTTAAGGAATCTGAAATTTACTAGTATAAAAACATATGACTGTCAAAACACTGACTAATAAATTTAAGGATTAATTAATATGTAAACCTTGAAAATAGGTTAAATAGTATTCTCATTAATTCTCACACATCTGTGCAGAAGGCTGAACTGAACAGCTGTGCAGTGTATAAGCCTTGGTGGTCTTGTGTATACATTTCTCTTAAGTATGCTAATGAAAAGATGGAGAAACAGGTGTTAGAAACAGAAATGATGGGTAATACACCTTCACTAAGAAAGACACCCACCTGGAGTCCTCTGTGAGCCATACAGTTACTACAGCCTTAAAAAAGTCTATGAAACTCTCAGATCTTACATCTGAATGGAGTAGGCATCTTGTCAGTCCAGTGTCTGCTTCATTATGTCACATTGACCCACATTTTCAGGAACCTAAAAGGCTACCTAACACCTACCTGGAAATGGAGATCCCATGAATAGAGCAATGCTTCCATGTACAAAGTCTGTGTTTTCACCCTCTACCCTCTTCCAGATAGGTCAGCAAACTTGAAAGGAGTTTATCCATTATTGATAAGTATGTAATAAAAAAATATACCTATTCTTAATCAAAAGTTGTCCTAGCAAATCTGAGTAGCCATTGACAACTTGTTAGATTAAAAAAAATGTACACAATAATGGTTTTATCTAGCAGTCAAATTTGCATCAATATTTTTATTATATGTATACAATGTATACATGTGCATATACACTTAATTCACATGAAGGTGGATGAAGAGTGCACTACAGACTCATATTGTTTGGTTTTTAGTTATAAAAACCATAATAGAATTAGTAACATTTCATATTCTTGTAGTTACAGAAATAATATTTAATAATATTTTTCATAAAAAATAAGTGAATCTTTAAAATAAGCAATATTTAATCCAAAACTAATAGCAAAGTGCTTTTATATCTTTATATCTTAGATGTTTCTCCCATGACCTTGAGGGGTGCTCACAAACAGCCCACAGTGAAGAGAAATATGCATAATTATGTCCTTCAGAAAATCCATGATACCTAAAACAAAACACAGAAAGTCAGCCTTGGTAACTAAATGGCCTATCTCTTCACCTTGAGAACAGGCTCTCTCTGTCCTCTGTTCAGGTCACTGAGGACTCTGTCCTAGTTAAGTATTGAACAAGCATTCATTCCAAGTAATAAAAATACACCCTGTATAAGCAGAAACCTCAGTGAGAGCAGCCCCTGAAAGGTGCCTGGCCCCACACCTGAGTCATGGTCTTCCTCTTGTTCAGTTTGTGCACATGCCGGTCCTGGGCTGTTTGCTGTGTATGATGGGCTTTGCTCATTTTTTTCAATCTACACTTTTGCGTACATATTGCCAATACACATCCCCTGTAACATTGATGATGGAGTTTCTGTCACCTATAAAGAAAACACAAAAACTCTTAAGAGCACGGGCATCTTTGAAGAATTACATCATCTGCTCTGTGCACCTTGGTGAAACCTGCCTGGGTAACCTTCATTTAACATATCAAGAGATAATGGTTCTGCTTTAATTTATTTTAATGAAAGATGTTTTATCTTTTAAAAAAAATCTTTGATGACTAAAGCTGAGTACATGCAATTGTTAATCAAATCTCTCTTCAACAGCAAAGCATTTTTCAAATCCAGTGAAATTTCCTAATGGGCTGCCTAGTGCTGGCGCCCACACACAGAGCACAATCCATGCCAGCTCTTATGGCCATGGTCAGTGCAGTGAAGACACCCACATAGCAGCAGCTGCTGCCATCCTGAACCTTTCCACCCGCTGCAGGGAAGCCACAGACATCCTTTCCAACAAACCACAGAGCCTGCATGCCAAGGTAAGCTAGGCCAAGAGCATGGAAGGTGGGCCAGCGAGTGAGACTCGAGAATCAACTGCCTTTCGTGTTCCTCACTGCATCCACTCACTTCCCCTACTCCCTACCCAAGCAGGGACAAGCTCTCAAAGGATTCAAGGAAGGAAGGTGGGCTTATTTTGGATGTACAGTCATCTGGGGATCAATGACTTATGAGGTTGTTGAGAATCTCATCACTGTTTCTGTTTTGAGGTATTTGGTGAACAAGGAAAGAGAGTTACTGTTAAAATGCATCTATGCTGTGGAAGCTGTTTCACCATCTGCAGATCAAAGCCATTTAGAAACAGTGGCTGGTGGAACATTTTTGAAACTGACCATAGAGTTATGTTGTACATGTCACCACTGCATAGCATGAGGACATCAAGTTTGTAGTGTTCTCATGAGACCCACAGTACAGTGACTCATCAGACTAAAGAGACTAGAGGCTTTAATGTTCAATCCAGAATCAAATTCTAGGACCTTTGTGAACATAGTACATTTCCTAAGAGATTAATCATATTTTCCATAGCTTTTCCTTTCTAACTGTGGGAAATATTTATTTGTACTTACAGTGACTTAATGAATGCACAAAAACCCTGCATGCAGTGGGCCACAGGGGAGGCTGTAAGGGCTGAGTGTTTCTCCTGTTTACTCAGATGGCCTCACTCAAAGAACTTATCACCTAACTAGATGATTAGAAGCCTGCCGATATGGAGCACCCAGACATTTTCTTTTCACAGATTCCACCCTCGCTTAAAATGGAAGATTTCCTGAGTGAGTCTCAGACCCTGAAGTCTGTGCAATGCAAACTGAGACATTTCCCTTTAAGAGCAGCCCTGTCTGTGTGGTCAGCTGCTTGTCTATGCTATGCCAGGGCTTCAGGAGAGCAGGTAGCACAGTGCCACCAAGCATTTGACAGAAGAATCAGAATTGGCTTCTGGAAGAAGCCAAGCCAAGTAAACCCCAGGAAGAGATGGTTGCCAAAACCCACTCAAAAACAGTCTTTAAACAAATGAGGTTCTTAAACAAAGAAAAAATATATCCTCTAAAAATATGGAGAAAATACCAAACTCCCTGAATTCATAATGCCAGTCACAAATTACTGACACAGGAGACGAATTTGAGGGATTTTAAAACACAACTTTATTTTTAAATTGACATTTTAAGGTCTGGTTTATTTTTCTTTTTTAAGACTATTATAGAGATACTTGGTTCCAGAAATACTTCAGTGTCTTCCTTCCTAGTGCTGTGTGCCTGACTTAATCTCTGTTTCATAGCAAATGGGGTCTGCCATCACAGTTACTCGATGTGAAGCAGTTGAGTGGCACTGCTAGGACAAATGCCGCACATTTGCACATTTCCCGGGTCCCCAGAATGCTCCTTTCACCTCAGATCTTCAGGGCCCATTTAATTGCTGATGTCAAGCAAGTAACACACATATGACTAACAGTTGAGTGATGTTTTCTATTCAGTCTGCTCTCTTTTAAAAACATATTTCTGATCAGAAAAACACCTGCTTAACCACCATATTTCAAAAAGCCATATAATCCTTTTCCAATGTCTGTTTTTCCATTCCTTGTGTCAGCGAGACTCGATGCAGCAGACCTGGTATTCCTAAGATAATGTCCTCTCCAATACAGCTCTTTGCATTCTCCACTGATGCCTGGATGTGGACAGTGGAAATAGAAGGGGCTTAGCTCAGCTTCTGAAAGGAGCTACTTATACCTGCCAGAGAACTCAAAAAAATTTTCCTGTGAGAAGTACCTACCGCACACAGTGGTTGTTAACAAAGGATAGTTATGGCTTCCTTCAGCATCACTGTGAACAGTACTGCTGAACTGCATAGCACTCACATTTCCATACAATTGTACCAATTTGTAGAACTCTGTCTTCATTCGTGTTATGAATATAGAACTGTTTCTCACAAATTTACTGAAACAACTCTTTTAGAAACAAAACAAAAACTGGTTAATTAACTCTGCAGACCTGCATCTAATCAAACCATGCTGGATGTGTGGCTTTGCTATTGCCAGCAAACATGGGATTAGATGCCATCTTCCCTGAGCACTGCATGTCGGCCTCATTCTTCCTCCAGGAGATTTGAATTTTTCTCTCTATCACAGGTTATTGATGTCTTTATTTCTGAAAGTTCACTCCCATAAGATCTCCTATGCTTCATATTTAGATGCAAATGCAGAAAACAGGTTTTCTTGTTCTATAGTTATGTCAGTATATAAGTCATGTTGGCAAGTGCAGTCTAAGCACTGGCATTGTCTTCACCACTGGTTAAGACTAGTTGTTCTCAACTTATAGGTCATGACCCCTTTGGAGATAGAATATCCTTTTCACAGGGGTCACCTAATACCATCAGAAAACACAGATATTTACATTCTGATCCATAACAGAAACAAAATTGATGTTATGAAGTAGCAATAAAAATAATTTTATGGTGGGGGGGTCACCACAACATGAGGATCTCTATTAAAGGGATGCAGCATTACAGAGCTTGAGAACCACTGCTTCAGACTGAGCTTCAGACTCTGGATTCAATGAGCTCACCAATAAGCAGAAGGAAAGAAATGCTCTGCCCCTGGACATCTGAGGTAGAGGTGGGCCTGTGGCGGCTGGGGCATGCACAGGTGGCTTCACAGTGCCTTCCATCTGAACCGGAGATGGCTGGTTACTTCTTTTCCTCTTGTTCCCATCCAGAAAAATTTGCTGTGAGCGTCTCTTTGGTTGCTTACAGCACCGATCAGAGAATTAATTGAAGAGCACACTGCGGCCTGTAGGCCAAAGCCTACAAACCTTAAAAGTGCTGAAATACCGCCTCAGGCAGTACAGATTTTTCTACAAGGACACAACTGACTCTACACTAAGTAGGATTCTGAATTAGTGATCTGCAAAACATTTGGAGTATTTTCAGAGGAGCAAGGAAACTCTGAGTCTCTATCACATTTTAAATATAAAAATATGATGTTAAGGTTTCTATTGCTGTAAAGAGACATTATGACCACAGCAACTCTTATAAAGAAAACATTTAACAAGTGCTGGCTTACTGTTCAGTGATTTAGTCTATTGTCATCAAGGTCAGAAGCATGGCAGTATGGAGGGTGACATGGTACTGGAGAAGGAGCTGAGAGTTCTACATCTAGATCCTCAGGCAGCAGGAAGAGTAAGACAGTGGGCCTGGTTTGAGCTTCTGAAAACTCAAAGCCCACGCCCCAGTGACACATATCCTCCAACAAGGCCACATCTACTCTAACAAGGCCATACCTCCTAATAGTGCCACTCACTATGAATCTATGGGGATCATTTTCATGCAGACCACCACAGATGATATACATAATTTACCCTGCTATCCACACTGTTGTCCATTTAACCAACCTGTGTTCTCTATACATCAGGTACACATCATATCTGTGCAAAAAACATCAGGCCATTTCTAACATGACTGGTCACTTTCCAAACCCAGAGCCGACTACATTTTAAATATTAAGAGAAACTATTTGTTTTAAAATACTATCTTACCTCTGAGTAACATATTCATACCACCAGATCTCTTTCATATTGTTTTAAAAAAGGAGAGAATAATTTGTACATTTAGTTCCTAGTGAATATTATAAGGATTAAAAGGTAATTTTGTCTGAAATACTAGTTTTCTTTTTATTCCAGTACTTTTGTTGGTTCTAAGATATAGAAAATGTCCTCCATCTATCTTTATTTGACATAAATATGAGTTTGGAAACATAAATTGGTCACAATGTCAAATACCCTTAAGGTGCTTTTGCCCAACCACTGTGACTCTAGGTAAGAGTAGAGTCATGAGTGTAGATGGATAGAAAGTGAGCATCCTAGGTTTGCTGGGCACTTTCTGTCAATGCCCCTGAGAACTGCACCAGCCGATTTTAATACACAGAGGTAGAACATGCCTCATGTCTATCTTTATCCTCATCACTGCCACTTGCCAAGCATTCTGTTATTTGTTTTGGTGTTTTTCCCACCTGCTTAGACAAAATGACATATGCACAGTTCCTTAAAAGAAAACAAAAATTTGACACTTACTTGAAGTGTTTAAAGTTCAAAGTCTGTTTTTGCTTGAACGAGGCCTAGAAACAGCATGCTATTAGTGCTGCCTGCTCACAGTAATACCCCAGTGGCCCTGGGTGGTTAGAACCCAAAGCATATTTTAACATCTGAACACATTGTACCATACATTGTGAATGAAAGATCAGAAGAGGGTCTTGAGGCAGGGACCATAAAAAACTGACTGTGTAAGTGTATTGTAACTAGATATGTAACAACTAGCTTCTTGCTGGGCATGGTGATTCAGCCTGTAACCAGAGAGGCTGAGATAGGGTACCATGAGCTTGAGGCCATCCTGGACTATGCAGCAAGATCCTGCCTCAAGACAGGTAAAGAAATGAAATATTGACTCTTTAGCCCTGTGAATAGCTGAGGGTTATGTCTTTTTGGGGATTGTGATTTGTAGAATACCTACTATGTGCTACATACTGTTCATATCTCTCTGACCATGTGAATCCCTTTAAATCTTCCTAAAGATTAACATAGATAATAATTTTCCATTTTTCAGTGGAAGAAATAGTGGTACAGAAATAATGATTTTCTGTGAGTGGCATGACTATAATTGCTGGAAATGAAATTTGAATTCACACATAGCCTTAGTTATTTTCTAAAGTGCTTTATGGCTCATATACTGTTAAACCAAGAGCTTGGTAGACCATGATTTCAAATTCAAAATGTCTGTTTTGTTTGAACAAGGCCTAGAAATTTGGGGAAGTATCTCTAAATTTCATTTCAATTTCACACCTTGCATTAGTCATTTCTTCTCTGCACTGCATAATTCTGTGTTATAAATATATTTCATATGTTTATCATCTTTACAGTGGTAGCAATTAGTTACTGCTGAGTAAGAATAGAGTGCGTGCTTTCTGTCTTCAGTTGTATAAGACTTTCTAACCTGCTCTTTGGTTCTCATAATTACTGTCTCACTGACCAGGTAATGTTCTAGTTAACAGAGGTGCCCCGGTTACACTAATCATGTCCCTGTTGTTGGACATCTATGGCACTACTTATCTTCTAGGAGAAATGATGATTACAACACTAGGTCTGTAAACCTTCAGTTTCACCATCATTGGTAATAAACTTGGTACCTTTCATTAGAAGTCATTACCCATAAAATATGCCCTTGAAAGCCAAAACAATCTGTTTTGAGATTCTCTTTTCTCTATACTGTAGTGTTATGATCATACTGTGCATGTCCTCAGTAATGCAATGAACACATCCACAGCAGTAAGGTGGGCATCTCAAAGGCAGCATCAATAGATGGCCTATGTTGTCCCTCCTAAGCTGGAAGGTATATAGCCAGCCCCAGGAAATTTGAAGTATAAATACTTCAAATAAAGACCCCAAATAGCTCTTTAGAAATCTAAGTGTTAGAAGGTGTAAGAGAGCAGGGCCAACTCAACTGCAACTCTGGCCCTGCCTCTCCACTAGCCTTTCCCACCACTCAGATTTCTGGACTGACATTTAGAGTTCAAAGCATAGAAAAATGGTGCCTGGTGGTATTACTCTGACTAAAAACCCATGCTGTGAGTGTGTGATCCCCATCATGGTTAGAAAGGGCCTTTCCTGTTACAGAGTAATTGTCAGATGCATCTGCGCACTTACTTAAAGCCCATCTGGACTCCTATCCCCAGCACACGACATCCATTTTCCCCAAGTCAGGTGCCCCGAGCAGGAAGCTGAGACACCTTTTTCAAACATTAGGAGTGAGATTTTTCTAATCAACTCTAATTATACAACACAAATAATTGTAATGGCTCCTAGAATCTCTAATTTTTAAACAGTATTTGAAATACTTCTATAAAAACTAATATATATGTATACATATACATATATATGAGACTATTCTTGGAATAGTTGGTATTTTTCAAAGCTAAATCTGCACTATTTATGGGTTTTGCACTATAAAACTCTGCAGCCCAGTCACATGGCTTCTTTTTCCTAAGCCATCTGTCACAGAGGTCTGGAATTTTATGTGAATGTTGGTTGTGCAGCTTTAACCCAAGTTTTTTTTTTTTATGAAAAATGTCAGTAACTACAATATTTAGCATTTTACTTTACGTTGGCCATTAAACTTGATTACTATTGCTCTGTTTCATTGCTATAGTTACACATCAGCTACAAAGCAAAAAATTGCTTTGATGCCCGACTGGCAGAATGTATTGTGAGCTCATGTAAGAAGGGGGGCTGGTGGCACTGATATGGTTAATATCTTGGATTTTTTGTAACTGTGGTTTATTAATGCTGGTATAAAAATGTATTTGATATTATACAGATGGCATAAGATGCTGTGGTTACTATGTTATTATCCTGGATAAGCTGTAATGTCAAATTCAGGGCTTAAAACTATCACAGGAGATTAAACTATTTACTAAAAAGGGACAGAAAGATATGGCCAAAGCAACTTAGCCTGCCATATTAGAAGTGTATTTACCTCCCATAAATACTGATGGGCTGAGCGACTAGATAGGACTTTGTGGGTCAAACAAACAAAACGAAGAGGGACTTTGACAAGCACAAGCAGCGATCCCAGCCTGTGTACAAGAAGAGCATTAAACAGTATCTGGTGACTGCAGGAGTAAGGATCTTGCTCACATAATCAAAAAGATGTCTCCTTTGCCAACTAAAAAGGAAAAGTCAAGAACTTGTCAAGAAGTTAACTATAAATTGATGAGTGATGTAGAAATAAAAGCAAGGTTATTTGATTCATTTGGAGAGTCAACAGGCATGTTTTTCCAGCTTTGGGGAGCTCTGATAATGTTAACAAAAGCCACCTACAGTGCAAATCAGGAGTGGCTACTACCCAAACAGAAAGACTACTCCTCAGAAACAATTAGCAGCTTGGCCAAAGGATCCCAAAGGGAGTGGGCCTGGAAAGCCTCATCACTATTAAGTCTCACAGGAAACACTAGAAAACGAAAGACTTCATTCCAGATCATCATTCTACATTGTTGTTTATCACTAAAGCAAGTCAGGTTAGGGACTTGAACAGGGCAGGATCCTGGAGGCAGGAGCCTTGGAGAAGAGCTGCTTACTGGCTTGCTTTCACTGACTTGCTCAGCCTGCTTTCTTATCCCAGGATCCACAACCCAGCAATTGCACCTCCCACCATGGGCTGGGCCCTCCCCTGTGGGTCACTAATTGAGAAAATAGCTTCCAGCTGGATCTCCTGAGGCTCCTTCTCTGATGACTCTAGTTGTGTCAAGTTGACACAAAATCAGCTAGCATGCTTCTCCAGTTGAGATTGTCTAAGGTGCATGTTGCTTTCCTAATCCTACAACATTCTGGAAAATTCTCTTCTAGCTGATTTGGTTTGCATATTTATAATGTTAGATTAATATTATGATTCAGGGAGTTGGGAAGTTATACATCACTTTTGCTAAATACAAATATTAATGTTAAAATGTTAATGTTAAAATGGTGAGTTTGGAATGATACTTCCAGTGGGTAGAAGACTTTTGAAGCTAAACTTTAAAAATATGCAAGTATGTAAAATTGTTTTACCCAATTTATCTCATTTATATTAAGCTTACTTTGTTTAAACCCAGAAATATGAAGCACATTAATGGGCTGTTCTTTAAAGTCTGCCTAAGTATTGAATGTTACCCAATGCAAATCAGAAAGATGGATTTAAAAGCAGATATACTTCCATAAAAGCTAACATTTTAAATTATCCTTTAAAAGCCCCACATGGCTAGCCTCTGACTGCATACTGCTGAGATGTTTTCTGTTTTTGTTCTCTATCAGGGAGCTGAGATAGAAGTGGATGAAAATGGCACATTGGACTTAAGCATGAAAAAACCCCGAATCCTGGACAAGTCTATACCCCCAACTTCCCCTCACACTACAATTACAACCCCGTCTTCTTCCCCATTCAAAGCAAGCAGCCTTCTTGTTAATGCTGCATTCTATCAGGCTCTTTGTGACCAAGAAGGCTGGGATGTGCCCATCAACTATAGCAAAACCCATGGAAAGACAGAGGAGGAGAGAGAGGTATTGTGTTATGCCTTGTTTTAGATTTTCCGTTTTATTTTTATGTATTTGAATGATCTGCCTGCATTTATTTATGCATGCCTGGTGCCTATGAAGATCACAAGAAGGGATCATATCCCATGGAACAAGGAGTTACAGATGATTGTGAGTCACCATGTAAGTGCTGTGAACTGAGCTTAGGTCCTCTTCAAGAGCAGCAAGAGCCATCTTCTCAACCCTTGTGCCTTGCTTTAGATCATGATAAAGTAGTGCTTTTAAATTTCAGAAGAAATTTATTAATGAACTCAATTTTTCAGGTCATTTGCCTAAATTAGCATCATGATAGTGAGTTTTATTCACAAAATGATGGCAGTTGTCCTCACAGCAGCCTGTAAAGGGCAATGCATTACCCAACACTAAAAGCCAACTCAGTAACACACTTTGAATTGGTGTCAAGGTGAAATGCAACCAGGGACAATAAGAGTCTTAAAATCATGCCAAAGCCACGTCTTTGGTGTCTTGGAGGTCCCAAGACATGGGACATGTCCGTGGAGAGTTTTGTGAGTAACTGAAAGAGCAGGTCTCTGGACATCTAGGTGGAATCTGTCCCAAAGTCCAGGAGACATACTTGTGTGTTTGACTATCTTGAAAGGGGCCAAAGTTTGTGACAGGATAGGAAGAATCTTGCCCTCTTCATTTCTGGAGAGGGAGCTATTGACGTGGCCTGAGCAGATGCTTTGGTCCCACACAAGTACAAAGGTAGCCCTGGTGATGAATGTGGGTGATCCGATTGTGATATTAATCAGAAATGTCATTGAGAGGCTTTCTAGGTGGTATGTTTAAAAGATTGACATTGATTTGCTGCAGAAATATATATCATCTTGTTTGGCTATTTGTGTTTCAGAGATGGGGAGAGCAATTTGATTTTTGTTTACTATCTTGGGAGTGAGTCAACATTTGCAGTAGTGACCACAGGCTTGCAGGTTCTCCATTCCTTTCTCGCTTTCCCCTCCTTCCCTCCTTCTACATAGTTCCTCTGGCATCTCTAAGGATAAGCAGTGAGAGAGGTCTGGGAGACACACTAGGGGAAAAACTTCATCTCCACCATGGTGCTCACCTGGCCTCAGGCCTGCTCATAGTGGCATAGAGCACACACCTGTAATTCTGTAATTCTAGCACCTAAGAAACTAAGGCAGGAGGATTGTGAGTTCAAAGTCAGTGTAGTCTACATCATGAGACCCTTTCTTAATAAGTACATGAAAGTAACACAAGAAGGTACCCACGGTGGTGATCAGACATCCATCTGGAAGAAACCCTGAGCCTAGGACTCCTTATATCATCCAGTCAATCCATGCCACCGCCTAGACAATGAATGGGCTTGTATAGCAGTAGCATTCAGTTAGACTGACACTACTGTACTTTGTTGGAGATTTTCAGATTTTTACATAGACTTCATCAGTTAAATATCCCTAACTCAAAAAACCTGATATGTTCCAAATTCTTTTAGTGTCATAGGCGGTTTATTGGTCTGCAGTAACGAATACAAACTTCTCCTACTGCTAGCCTGTGTACACACAGAGGAACCAAAGTTACACCACACTCCACCTACTAGTGGAGCTGAGGAGGCAACAGGCAGGGTGCTGGGAGATGATGTGGGCTAAATAGAAGTCATTCTATTTCAAGAAAAATAGTGCTTTATAGAGTAGCTATAACTGCATCTCATTCTTATATGGAATAAGAATGCCAGCATGTTCTGAGAGCTCAACACCATGTCATGACAGGCTTTTAAACATTCTGTTCTTGACCACATAACTGTGTTGACTGAACCTTGGTCAGTTTATGCACCAGAAACCTTCCTAGAATCTTGGTGCCCAGTGTCAGCCAGGAGGATGTGAACCTATGCAGAAATGCAGCAATGAGCCCTTGGGTATGACGTCCTTTCATACAGGATATCCAGGGTAGTTTGGCTACCACTACATTTTTATACCATCTGGCACTTCTCCCACTGCCTTCTTGTCTATCCTTCTTAGAGCCCAGTGTGTCAGAAAATGAGTCTCCTAGCAACATTTTATCTTTACTTCTAATCTTTTTTATAAAATTCAAAAAAAAAAAGAAAAGAAAAAGAAGGAAACATTTGGGTTCTTCTTGGTAGTTGTATAGATTCAAATGTTTTTCCCTACTTCAACATGTATTTGTGATGTTTCAATTCTCTGGAGAGAGAGAGAGAGAGAGAGAGAGAGAGAGAGAGAGAGAGAGAGAGAGAATGAGAGAGAGATGAAGAAGAGGGAAGAGGGTGTCCTTAGTTTTCAGAATGGCTAATGGTTTACTCAGGTCTGTCAGGGCAGTCTTACTCTACAATTTTCAACTGAAGTATTCTGAAATGAAACTTAGAAGCTATATTGGAATTCAGTGCCACTGGTAGAGTCCAGAGGGACTGGGAGGATGCTAAGTGTTTGTGGACTCACACTGCTTACCCTGAGTGAGCTAAACACTTCTTCCATAGCTGTTCGTAGTTGATGGGGACTCACATAAAAGTGATGCTCAAGCGTTAAAATTCCCAGTACAAACTCTTACCTTTGTTCTTTGTTCCCTCATTGTTACAACATAGTCTATGAGCAAAGAGTATTTTTCACATAATATTCTGAATCTTGAAGCATACAAGTATGAGACTTGGTAGATACAATTTTTGAAAAGTAACTTGGATTAAATTAATAACTTGTATTCAGAATCCTTATTCAGAAGACAGCAGAAGAGCATCACATGCAGGAAAAACAAAACAAAAAACAGCAACTCCTTCTATACCATGTCTTATGATCCCAACATTCCTGTGAAACAAGTTTGGTAACATTTCCAGAGAAGAGAATTGATACACAAGAAGTTGTGAGTGTTGGTCCTTGTGTTACAGAAATTAAGTGATTAGCTTGGAATTACCAAAGACAAAGAAAAAGTAAAGTGGGAGTAATATATAAAAAGAAAAAGTTACAACAGAGGTTTCTAGGGAATATTAAGAAAAGTTTCAAAGGGGAAAATGAGGAGGAGGAGGAGGAGGAGGAGGAGGAGGAGGAGGAGGAGGAGGAGGAGAAGATGGAAGCAGAATAGGGAAGAGATAGTTTGGACAAGGTGTGTGGAAGCTATCATTTCCTCGGATGGTCCAAGGATGAGGACCAAAGTTTAATGCTCTGACAAATCTTCAGAATGTGACTAAGGAACAAGGTTCCTTTGTTGTGCTTGCTTGGGGACACTGAGTACAACCTAGCAGTTCATAATGAGTGTTTGAAGACCTAAAGGCATTTCTTCCCATTTGCCCCCTACCTCATAGCACTCATACCACCAGAAATTGAGTGATTATTTCTAATTCATTGTTATCTAGTTCATATGCACAACAGTTGCTTAATTTTGGTGGTAATTTTCAGAAAATATTGTCTATCTCTCTCAGCAAAATAGCCTGTCCAGATGCCCCCTAAAAAATACCCTGAATCTGGAAAAAAATCAAAATATCTCAAAAGGAAAGTACTGAGAAATAACTAGGACTGTCAGCTACGTTCAACTGTCAGTTATCCAAAGATTTCAGGGCTTAAAATTTTAAAAGTGCCAGATGCTATTATCTGTTATTCATGTTACCATTATGTTCTGGTCTTTACTGAAATCAATATAACCTTCCATCTGTACATTGGAAAATCTGGTTGCACACGCATACTCTCTAAATACACATATGCATGCTTTCCTTGTATATCTTATATAGAACAAAATTACTCTTTTTTAAAACTATACTTTTTTAAGTGTTGAATAACAGTCTCAAAATATTATTGAATTCTACACTGGGTGCTATTTAAAAATTCATCCAGTATAATGTGTTTCTATAACAGAACTAATTCTGAAAATTATTTTAGCTATGGCCACATATGTATATATTCTCTGCAGGTTTGTAAAGTAGAATATTAAGGCAAAGCAAAAGCAAAAAGTACAACCAATTTACAAACAACTGAAAGCACAAGAGTCTATAGTTTAAAAAGTTATAAAATATTTAAAAGGTCCTCACCAATAAAAACTATCTTGTAAAAACCCTTTACAACATGTATCCAGCCCAAACTGTTTTATATGTATTTTAGTGATATAGTAGTTTGAACTTTAATATTGATCATTTTCTTTAAAAATCCCACATTCCACAACACACAGATTTAACCCTCAACAGAAACATTCTCATGCTTGGCTGTAAATGGACATGCCTTCAGGGAGAGACTTTTGTTCCCAACTCTAGAATAAAGAAAACAATAAAATGATTATTTTACTTCATGCCACTTTGCGAAAAGTACAGATCTAAGTAGGAAAGCAGGCTTTTCCACACTGAGACAGTGTTGAATTTAGCTTTCACATCAATTTTCAAAAAGCCAAGACATTTCTAAAGTAGAATGGAACTGCTAGTAAGCCAAGTCCACATTAAAGTGAGTGCAGAATAGGCAGGTGGAAAGCTCCCTTATCAGGAATCCTTCTGTTTTAGCCATTTCCATAATAAAACTTTAAAAACAAACTTCACTCACCTACCTTGCCACAGATTACTGGGGGGTGGGGGATGCATTGAAAAAGCAGCTTGGACACATGCACATTTACCTTTCAGGGCATAGTAATATCAGCTATTTTTTAATCAGTAAAATAACAGAATACTTAGCAGCCCAAAAGTATAAAGTATGGTATTGTACCACACTGGAGTCTGTTAATTTGGTATAAAATAACATCACATTGAGGCAGTTCTGCCAATGCTCTTACTATGGCACAATGCTCCTTCTGTTCTGCTGCTGCTGCTGCTGTGGCAGCTGGATAGGCAAACAGTGATCCATGCATTCACTAGGACATGTTTATTTAGTGAAATGGCTTGAAATATTCTAATATATTAATAACTATATAGTTCAAGAAATGTCTCCATATCCACAAAGATGCGAACTTTTAAAAGGTATCACTTCCTCAGTTATAATCCCCAACTCTTTGGATAAAGGTCTCTAACAATCAGAACATGTCCTTTTATTCATTATCTTTTTATTTTTCTTATAACTCTTTTGTGGGACTCAAGGTATGTCTTCAAACTCAGTTGACACCAATAATTTCAAATCCAGTTGTCTTTTCATGGTTCCCTAATGTCTTCTCCCTTTCTCTTCCCCCCACCACTATTTTTTTTTTGTTTTGTTTTGGCTGTTATTTGTTTTCCAGAAAGACCCTGTGAACTCCCTTGAAAATTTAGAGGAAAAAAAGTTTGCTGGAGAGGCCTCTATTCCAAGCCCAAAACCCAAGCTCCATTCAAGAGATCTCAAGAAAGAGTTAATCACGTAAGTGGTGCTCAGCTACCTGCTCTAAAAGATTCTGCAATTAGGAGACATAAATTTACAATTGTGAGTGATAATGCCCTGAATTAACTACTATATGAGAGTGAAAAGGTATAACTACTTTAGGACATCTCAACTAGTCAGCATATACCTAGTACTCTGCACTGCACTAAGGAAGCTTCCAAAAGTATGTATCAAGAGGTGGGAACCTCTGTTTTTTAAAAACAAAATAGAGAGGCACACTCTTTGGTCACAGGTTCTCAGCTAGAAATATCTTGACTTACAGTGTCTAAATCCTGACTTCAAGGAGTCAGCTAAACTTGTAGCTACTCTGAAAATTATACTTTAGAAGAAATGGTTTTCAGTCCTCTTGGGGGTTATTAACTCAGAAGAATTGAATGAGCAATTACCCTGATTCAACCATTAATATAAATTATATATAAGTCAAACAATCACATTTTATCTGTTTTACTCAGCTTTCTGTCACTGCTACAAAGTACCAGAGGTCATCAATTTATAAGAGGAAAAAGGTTTATTATAGCTTATGAATTTGAAAGTTTCAATCCATGGCCACTTTGCTCTATTGCCTTTGGGTCTGTGGTGAAGCAGAACTTTATGGCAGAAGCATATAATGGAGAAAACTCCTTCCATCATTGTGTTTTAGAACAAGAAGAAGGATCCTAATATCCCCTTTGGGACACAACTACAGTGACTTCCTACTAGGCCACACTCCTTGAGGTTTACCATCTCTAAATACTAACACACCCTGGTTACAGGGCCTCCAACACTTGAAATAGCCTTTGGGAGACATTTAAGATATATGTCATAGCAGCGCCATAAATATGACAATTACTATGTGTCCATAAAAACAAAACAGAAGGCAAGAAGTGTTACTTAGCAATGTGAGGGAGAGAGGGAGGAATGGAGGGAGGAGAAGAGGGAGAGAGGGAGGGAGAAAGGGAGGAAGGGATGGAGATAGTGAGGGACAGAGGGAGGGAGGGAGGAAGAGAGGGAGGGAGGGAGCAAGCAAATAACATTATGGAAATAATTTGCCATCAGGAAAACGTAGAGTGATGCACAGATATGTGGACAGCAGCCAGTTAGAGTTTCTGGAAAAGAATAACCTTTCTACTTGGGCGCTATCTCCTCCCTTCTGTAATCTTCTACATAAATGCATTCTTTCTGTTAAAAACTCCCCTGGAGAAGCTTCAAAGGATCTTCTTGTTCTTAGACCTAGACTCCTTGGGAAGGTGTTTAGTAGTATACCACTTCATTTATCCTCCTTAATATTTTCCATTCTTACAGCTGCTCCCAAACCAGGATTCTTGTGAAGCTCCCCACAGCCTTCTCACCTTCAGTGTGGAGGTGTATCTTTGACCCTTGTTCCTGCCTGACAGACAGCAGATACTATGACCATGCTCTCCTCCAAGATCCATCACTCACCAGCCACACTTGACTCCTGGGACCTCCTCACCTGAGGACTTTCTTTACCTCACAATAATTGCTTCCTAGATTTAGCACAGTTCTCTGGTGACTGAAATGCCTGCAGTTTAGTCTTTAGACCTCTGTTCTCCTCTTCCACATGTATGCCACCCCTGGCTCTAACCTCTGAGGCATATCCACCAGCTCACAAGGACAGAGCATTTCCTCCTCCTAGACCTTACGTACTGGGCAACCTCATCTCTTGTTTTCCATGTTCATCAGGGGGCACACTTGTCTCAGGGCTTGCAATTGCTGTTACCTTGGCCCATGGTCTCTAAAAGGAGCTCACATTCTTGTTTCTTAGTCCTTACCTCCAGTGTCACTTGCCAGAGAGGCCCTCCACCTACTGCAGTTCCTTGTCTCTAGGGCTAACAGTCCTACCCTGGGTTCAGGATCCTTCCAGAATTTATCACTAGCTTGCCAGTGTGTACAATTGTTTCTTCCCTGATCTACATTATTTGCCCTGAGAATGAGGCCCAGAGGCATCTCTACTCTTTTTTCCTCATTTTGTTCTCTGCCTTGGCCACATCATTAGTTCATAACATGTACTGTGTACTTCTTAGATACTTAAGCTAAATGCACAATAACCTGAGATAGAGTGCATATTTCATATGCTGGCCAGTGGTAAGTATGGGCCTTGTACAAAATAGACATCAGTAGATCATTGCTACTAGAGGACCAGTTTGCTGTCTGGTATGCAAGTAGCTTTTTAAAAAGTTTGGATATTGGCATTCTTTACAGATTCCATAGTCATTCATGAACAGTGAGCTGCAGAGTTCAGGCTTCACCTGGGTCTTAGTGACCTGCACAACATAGTGAAGGGTACCAGATACACCAGAATTCACATTTCTCACAACTTATTCTTTCCAGAAGGCCACTTATGAGAGGCAGGCACTTACTCCCCTTGGATCTGCTATTTGAGCCTCTTCATCAGTTTTGTTTTTTTTTAAACTTCTTTTCCATGTGATTTTTTTTCAATGTCTTCCAAAATGGCAAAATTCTATCTTTTGAAGGTAGGTATTTAGGAACTGCCAAAAGTTATTATAAACTAAATGCTGTGTGAATGATAATTGACCAGCCCAGAACAGAAAAAAAATGAAGTGGTATTATTTTGTAATGTGCAACACTACTGGAATATGAAGGTAAATGCACACAGGAAGACTCCCAAGGTCTTGAACTGTGCTTTTTAGTCCATTCTGAATTCCTTGAAAATTAAGAGACCTCCCAAGTACCCCACCCACCATTTGGGTGGGAGTCTCTGATTTGTTTGTGTCTGTGTTAGTATGCTGAGTTTTGTACTATCTTCATTATATATGTTTCTTTCCTTTTTTTTTTTTTTCGGAGCTGAGGACCGAACCCAGGATCAATATGTTTATTTTTTTAAGAGATAATCATAGAGTAACAACTTACCCAAAACTACCAGAAAGAATTTGTTAAATTTTATCAACTCTCTTCTGACTTGAATGGATTTTAAAATCAATTACCAAGAGAATTAGCTAGTTTCTTTTCTTTAATTTTGTTATTTTTATCAGAAAACCCTCCAAGAATATATCTCCCAAATGGTATTATGTAATATTGAAGAGTATTTTTTATTATAGATTTGAATTTACACCAGCCATCAAAGGCCTATCAGGAGTCAATTAAGAATATCATTCTCCTATCAGGAATAATATTGCCACTAATTCTTTATTCTTTTGATCTTTTTATACCATAAAGCTTTACATTTTTATCTAATCAAATTTATATGTTAATACTATATTCCATAGGTAATTTACAGATAATTAGTTTGAAATTAGTATAACTTCTTTGCCTCTTGGGAAGTGTTATTGAGCATAGTTAAAAATAGAAGAGAAATAAAATAATCACAGTGCTTTTGGAATACTATTTGGGGGTGAAAATTCCCAAACACTTGAAAGCCCTTCATTCTCCCATTAAATGGTGTTTAGAGATATTTCTGTATTCAGTGGATAAATGTTTACCAAAAAGGTATCTCAGCCTGAATGTAATCATCATTACATTTTTTAAAACTTTTTTGTACATATAATTTATTGTCTATACTTTCTGATATCCCATCCAGAAACAGAGACAGAAGAAAAATTAAATGACCCCAATTTAGATCAGTCCCTGAAAAGCAAATATCCCTTTGAGATTCCCTAATGTTCACAGTTTCTTTACATTGCCTAAAACATTTGATAAATGCTTAAAAGAGAAACTACTTAGAGGGAGATAGTATCACAATGTTACTAACCCCAAAAAAGCTTCATTCTGAATTTAATATACATGGACAGAAAAGACTTTGCTTTGGGCAGGAAGTCAGGGAAAACCCAATGCTTTCCCTCAGATCCTTAATACAACACAGATAGCACTTCAGGATGAGATCCATCTATGCACTCCAAATGGGCAACTTCAACAGCAACTAAGAAGTTAAACAACTGAAAATCTAAAGAATCTCTAATTGGAAAGATACCTCTTAAGGATAACAAAGCTGTTGTGATGTTTTCAAAATATACATAAGAAGGGTAAAACAGAAGTTTCTGAAAAGTGTGAAAAGATACAGATCACAGTGGACCCTTTGATAGACATCCTGAAATCTGTCCTCAGGCTAGCTATGAATTAAGGTGTGTATTTTGTTACAGCTTTGAGTGAAACTGCTCAAGAGTTCTAGTAACTAAATATCTTGTCTATTTTTCTGTCATCAATAACTTTCCCACATAAAATATCAATTTACATTTCAGTCAAAGGTTTTCTTCTTTGTAGTTTCTAAACTGTCAGGGTTAATAGGTGGTTTTTCTCTTGAAAGCCTACAGAAATCCCTTTCTATAATGTATCATATCACTGGTGCCAAGATTTCTGTTCTCATATTTCTGTATTATGGAGACATAAATTTATCTTTTCCAAGAACAGAACAGCATGGATTGTTGACTGACAAACCACCAGGACAGCATGTTAGCATCACTTCTCACCTTGTTTGAGTGGGAAATTTGGACATAATGTTGAAAAGAGAAAAAACAAAGTGTCTGGAAATGACATGCTTACTTTTCTTCTACTCATGAATTCTCTTTTTAACCTCTAAGTTCTTAATGCTCTAGCTTCTGCATCTCCTAAACAGTGCAGTCTTGAAAGGAGAAAATGCTTTTCAGTTTCTCTGGAAGAACAATAATCTATGAAATGCACTTGACACTCACCATATATTTTTCTGCTGACACAGCTGCCCAACACCAGGATGTGATGGAAGTGGCCATGTCACAGGCAACTATGCATCTCACCGCAGGTACCAAATATTCTTGCATGTGTTCAAGTTGTCATCTTTGTCTGTTTCAGGTCACCTATTAGAATAGCAAGTGGCTGTCTAGATTAAGAAATTGACAGTAGGTTAGTTGAATTTGTGGGTTAGTTTATTTTTCAGAGGTTTAGATATGGCACATAGAAATCATGATCCTTGTTCAAGAGTGTTCTGGTCCTGGTCACAAACAAACTCAGGGTTCATGTCAGGCTCTTATCCCACCTATCATTAAGCAAAGAAAGCCTCTCACTAGTGGAAGAGGCACCTCTGGTCCTGAATAAATAAATAAATAAAAGTGTTGGTGTGACTGAGCAGGATGAGAGACTCTCTAATTTGTTTTCCTACTAATGGCATTTCCTTTCCCTTAGCCAGTGGCTTAAAGCTGAAGCCATCGTCACTGGTGTTGCAGTGAGTGTGGACTGTTAGTCATTGCTGATCACTGAGTTCTTATTTCATTAAAGAACTTCATTTGATAGATAGCAAATCTGAGTTTACAACAAATAATTGAAATTCTCTTGAGCCCATGTTCATTAATAGTAAAACCAGACCCAATCCCTGTTAATTCTTTTCAATGCTTAGTCACTCAGAACTTAATGTATATCACAAACTCAGGACATCTGTGAGTCAATTTGTCCTAGTCAATGCTGTGCATCTCTTCTTCCCTCTGTAGTGTGTCTGGATGTCCTCTAGCAGACAAGACTCTTAAGTCCCTCATGGCTGCCAACTCTCAGGAGCTTAAGTAAGTGCTGGGAGGCATGGCCTCTGTGCCCTTCTTCACCACAGTGGAGCCTTCATTGTTTAGTGTCCATGTTGCCTTGCCGAGAGAACATAAAATTGTACCTGACTGATTTATAGCAAAACACACTTGTCAAAATTTGAAAGGACTGAAGCCCAGTCCTTATACTTTACCAGGACTGCCTTGCTGGATCTGGAGGAAAGGGGGATGGTACTTACCTTTTACACTGATTTGTAACAAATAGCATACAAACATAATCTTTTTGCTCCTAATTTCAGAATTTATTTACTAAACCAGACTAGTGAAGATGTAGTAAAATATTTTCAGCATCAATTTTAAGAAATCACGAGAATTTTAAATCTCCCAACTGCTTCTCACTTTTACTAAACATTGCTCTGGCTCATTTCCACTTTGTTTACAAGATCTCTAGGTTACATATATACTAATATTTAGTTATTGATTTTATTTCCTCTACTTTCATTTTATTTCAAATTTATCATTTGATGTTTTACATAAATATATTTATATTAAATATCCAATAACTTCACATTAGAATACATCTTATAGACTTCATAATGAGGAACATAAAACCCTGAAGTTTTTATACCAAAAATAGTGAAAAGTTGGAAATATGCAAATATGTTCTTCATTTTCAAAATGTTAAAGTATAATTTATTGTACCAAGGTAAAGTGTTGAATAATAATAGCCACTTTTATAGATCAAAATATAGGGCTGTTTGGGATTAGTAATTAATAGATTGAAATGTAAGGTATACCATAATATCATAGTCTAAGTGTTTCCATTGCACATCTCAATTATAGCTATCACTTCATGTACATTCTCTAAATTTTATGCTTAAAAACATCAGAAAGATACTGGAAGCATGTAGATCAACAAGTCCTATTTCAATGTCCAGTAATTAAATGTTTCATATAGCCACATAATAAATAATTTGTTTTATCTATACAAGAAAAAGATATATTTCACTAACCTCTTGTTTAGATATTCAAGGAAAAAATCTAAAAAGGTATTTCTTGACTTAATATATAACATATAGCAAGCTATTTATATCATATATAATAAGAAAATACATAAACTATTAAAGCACTGTTTTACAAAAAAAATGTTAGTAAAAGGCTGGGGAGATGATAAGTGATTAAGAGTTAATACTGCTCTTGCAGGAGACCCAGTTTCACTTCCCAGTACCCATGTCAGGCAGCTCACCACCAACAAACTCCAGTTCCAGGGGCTCTAATACCCTCTTCTGGCCTCTGCAGCAGCACTGCCCTTACCTGCACAAACCCACACAAAGACACACATGGAAACATAATTAAAAATAATTTTAAAGTTAATAGAAAAGGGTAAAAAACTTGTGTCTAACAGCAGAGAATATGTTTCTGTGTTTAGTTGATTAAATTCTCAATGTCTGTTTCTCTAACTAATTGGATGTTTGTTAATTATTTTGTTTGAGAAACTGTGTTACTCCTTACTTTGTGGATCAGGAATGGCATTCCATGATATAAAAGCATCCTATGAATGCTCATTGAGGTAGAATTTAAGAAAACATCTACCATGGTGGCACATGCCTTTAATCCCAGCACTCAGGAAGTAGAGACAGGCAAACGCCTGTGAGTTCAAGGCCAACCTGATCTACATAGAGTTCCAGACTAGCCAGGGCTACATAGTGATACTCTATCTCAAAAAATTAATGTATAATAAATAACAATGTGTTTTCAACCAAATATCACTCAGCAGTTTCACATGTTGAGTTTTTGTTTTCAACATGGATTTTTAACTGAAAGACAGTTGCTTAAACCAAAAGAGTCCAGCTCATCCTCTTTAACTTACATGTGTCATGATGCCCATCTCTCCCCTAACATGGCAGTCCACTGTGTTCCTGTGTTTTTAGGTGTCCAACCCCAGGTTGTGATGGTTCTGGGCATGTGACTGGAAACTATGCTTCCCACAGAAGGTAAGACCAACCCTATTTCTCAAATGGAAACTAATGTGTTGCAATGATACCCAGTCATAATCGCATCATCACAGTGTTTTATACTGTTCTTGATTATTCATTTTAGCTTGTCTGGTTGCCCTCGTGCAAGGAAAGGTGGCATCAAAATGACCCCTACCAAGGAAGAAAAAGAAGACTCTGAACTGAAGTAAGTATAACTGCTGTGGGATGGTCTGTATGTCAAAAGTGTTGCTGATTGGTCAATAAATAAATCACTGATTGGCCAGTGGCCAGGCAGGAAGTATAGGCAGGACAAGGAGGAGAATAAAGCTGGGAAGTGGAAGGCTGAGTCAGAGACACTGCCAGTCACCAAGATGACAAACAGCATGTGAAGACGCCGGTAAGCCACGAGCCACGTGGCAAGGTATAGATTTATAGAAATGGATTAATTTATGCTCTAAGAACAGTTAGCAAGAAGCCTGCCACAGCCATACAGTTTGTAACCAATATAAGTCTCTGTGTTTACTTGGTCGGGTCTGAGCGGCTGTGGAACTGGCAGGTGAGAGAGATTTGTCCTGACTGTGGGCCAGGCAGGAAAACTCTAGCTACATATAACTGATGAAGAACTGAACTGGGCTATTTCTTGTTGGCTAACTGAGAGGAGCCACAGGATGCCACTGAGTACCCACTGAATCCTAGAGGAGATGAGCCAATTAAGAGCCGTGACTTCTGGCTAACGAGTCATGTTGTTCAGAAGTTCAAGGACGTTTTCTCCTTCATAACTGCATTTTTCCACTTCTTTGAGAGATTTATCCCTTTCCCATCTGTTTTAAAAGAAAACAACACTGTGAAAGTTGTGTTTTTATGGGATTTCTCTGTGTGATTGTGTGTGTGAGTATGTGTGTGTGTGTGTGTGTGTGTGTGTGTGTGTGTGTGTGAATGTGTGTGTCTCTGTGTCTATATGTTTCTTGATCTTTTCTTTGGATCTTTTGTTTGTTTGTTTTATCCAATTCTGGTTTATTTTGATTTTTATGTATTTTTATTTTATTATTAGTTTTAGATGCCTGTTTGTATCCTAATGAGAGAAAGAAAGAAAGGTTGTAGATTTGTGTGGGTAGAACAGTGGGAAGGATGTGGGAGGAGTTGGGGGAGGAGAAACCAAAGTCAATCAAAATGTACTGTATTTAAAATCTATTTTCAATTGAAAAAAGAAAAGAAAAAGAAAAAACAGTGGGTATAAGCTTGACTCCATCTCTTGCTGCCTAGGTGGCAAGTCAGCTAAGCTCTTATACAAACCTCACTTTTCCCTGCCTGCAAAATGGGATAATATTCTCTACCCAAAGAGTTTTCAGTGAACATTAAACGACATTTTCTCAGTGCAAAGCCTGCCAGCTGTTACTGCTAACACAATGCTGTTTTGCTGCTTGTTGTGTATCTTATGGTTTCTACTGCTGTGATGAAATGCCAAGACCAAAAGCAAGTTGATGAGGAAAGGGTTTATTTGGCTTATACTTCCACATCACTGTTCCTCATAGAAGGAAGTCAGGACAGGAAGTCAAAAGGGCAGGAACCTGGAGACAGGAGCTGATGTGGAGATCATGGAGGAGGGCTGCTTACTGGCTTGCTCAATCAGCCCAGGTGTGACCCCACCTACAATGAGCAGAGCTCTCCCATATCAATCACTAATTAAGACAATGCCCAGATAGTGGGATATGAAGATGTCTCAGTTGGTAACATGCTTGTCATGCAAGCAGGAATGCCTGAGTTCAAATTCCCAGCACCCACATAAGAGCCAGGCATGAAGATACAACTCTAACCCCAGCTCCCAGGAAGTAGATGGAAGAGGGTCCCAGGAGCTTGGTAGCAGCCTGTCTAGACACATTGTTAAGTTAGGTAAGAGACCTTGTGCTAAAAAAGAAAACGATAAGGTGGAGATATCCAATGATGACCTGGCCCTGATACACCTGCACACATTTGAACACATACAAACATACATGAACACACATGTACATGCATAAACCATGTATAATGACATTACATAAGCTATTGATAAGAGACTCATTCTACTGCAGTACAGCTGGCAGGAAGTATGATAACCTTTTTTATGATCTCTAACTTTAAAAGATACAGTCATTTTATTTGAGATTCTTTAGTAATTAGCAAAATTAATGTTCATTTTAATTATTTGTTGCTATTATTTTAAACTCTGTGACCTAGCTGGTATTATTCAGTGTTAAAAATTGAAGTAACAAAAAACTTTCAAAATTACTATACATGAAGGACATTTATGCATAAATGTTTATTACTTATCTTTTATTTATGACTTCTCTTGACAAAAATACTTTAGTTGTTATGAAGTTTTATCTTTCTCTTTAAAGTTTTTCATCTCTTTGGAGTCCAATGTTGTGGATACACGTAAAGTATTTTATATATATATCATCAAATTACTTCCTGAAACATAATAGATTGTACTAATTAAACAATAAAAAAGAAAGAAAATGTCCTACAGGCTTGTCTGCAGCCTGATCTTATGGAGGCATTTTCTCAGGTGAGATTCCCTCCTCTCTAATGACTCTAGCCTGTGTCAAGTTGACATAAAATTAACCAGCATATGGTGGTATCTTTTGAAATTCTCTGCTGTTGGTTGCTACTGTATAGTATGGAGCTGCTAGTTCCCTTTTTCAAGCTGATAACAGCTCCACTGTGCTTCTCTAGATGTCCTGTAATAGGATGTGACGGCCAAGGTCACATATCAGGTAAATACACATCACATCGCACAGCTTCTGGCTGTCCTCTGGCTGCCAAGAGACAGAAGGAGAATCCCCTCAATGGGGCCCCTCTCTCCTGGAAACTGAACAAGCAAGAACTCCCCCACTGCCCCCTGCCAGGATGCAATGGGCTGGGTCATGTAAATAACGTTTTTGTCACCCACAGAAGGTAATGCTTGTTTTGTGTCTCATTGTTGTTGTGATTGTTTGTGATGTAAGTTACTTAGGAGAAGGTGAAAACCGTCAAAATACCATTTTTTTTTAACACTTTAGATAAATAACACAGAGTCTTACTAAGTAGATATTTGATTAGTTTGAAGAACAAAAAGTGTGTTTGCTGTTTCTGAAAATTCACTGCACAGAAATCAAGTACTCTAGAAACTCCATTTTTTGTGCATTAAAATATTACTTGTTTTAAGTGTCTTAGTCTTTTAATGCTCCACTCCAATTCCAAGTGGTGCTATCCACTCTACTATGTCATGTAGTTGTGATCTTCCACTGACTTATCTCTACCATCCCTACCTTTCTTGCAGTCACCCAATTTCAGGCCAGTGTAGCATTGTTTTGCTTCTGGGAAGATGCGAATTGCCCACAGCAACCTGAAAGCAAGCAGTATGTGTGGGTGCTGGTGGGGCTCAGGGACCTAGAGCTTTGCAGTGATATCCTTCATCACTGAGCCCCTGGCTCTCAAGGGAATCCTCTGTTGCACGAGGATGACCTTAGTCCAGCTGTTTGCCTCACTTTCCTCCTAAAGGAAAAAAATCTAGAAAGTTCCTGATGTATTCTGCAGTCAGTGAGTGTTCCACCCCCTTTTCATCTTACAGGCTACTTCTTGTGCAGTTTTAGGGAAACTTTGATTCTTTTATGTTCAATATACAAATTGAGCAAAGTTGGGACATTTTGACACCTTTTCAATTCTAAAGGTATAGAAATGATCACTATAAGAACTGATTGCTTTCAAGGTGCCAGTAAAACGGACATGTGGAGAAACTTGCATTTTCTATGTGGAGGTCAGAGGAAAACCTTGACATTGATACCAGATAATTATCTTTCCAGAGATTGATTGTTTTGAAGTTGTCATTGAAACTGGCTTATGAAGAAAACCCAATGTGCACTAAGCTGAGTCACCTGCTATTTTGTTTAATGAAAGGCAAATGAGTCTATAGCCACACTACCCTAAATAAACCCAATGTAGTATGAGAAGAAATGGAGACATGCTCATCTCTGATTTAATGTGGCGTAACTGAATTGCGGATGTGATGGAAATCATACAAGACTCATGTTTTGGGTTCTTTTTGTTTTGTTTTTCTACTTTGGAGCCACACCTCATAGGCCTGTTCCCAGGCCTGCCAAGCTCCACCTTCAGATCCATAAAGGACTTCTATTGTGGGAGCTGAGGGTAGGGTCACACATGCATGTGTGCATGTGTGTGAAGGCCTGAGGAAAGACACCTGAGATTGACTTGTGATACACACACAACACACACACACACACACACACACACACACACACACACACACACACACACACAGGCCAGACGACAACTTTGGGTGTCTTTCCTTGGAACTGTCCATCTTTTGTTTTAGAGAGGATCTAGAACATCAACAAGTAGTTTAAGCTAATGGTCTAGTGAGCTCCAAAGATCCATCCCCCTGCCTCCACTTTCCAAAGCCTCCATTTCATAACAATACACAACTGGTTCTAAGCTGTGTAGTGATGGCTACACTTCTTGAGCATTTTTTTAACACTGTGTCTACCTAGAAACTTACTGTAAATTGCAAAATAGATGTTGTAAGGGAGATGTGCAGTTTCAAATGAAATATTACTGTCCATTATGTTAAAAACGGACCCCTTTAGCATTCCACTTTACCAGTTAAGTATTCATCCCCTTCACAACCATTTTCTAAGAACACAGCATGTGACAATAAGAGAGGACAAACTCATGAACACTCTTGAGGGAAAGAGTGAGTCTCCATGAATCTTAGGCAATGATGGTCAGAAAGAGGCTCCAAAATGGTTTTAAGCTCAAGTTGTGCCTCTCATTTTCTTTTCCTGCATAAATAACATACCACTTACCAAAGATGAACAAACCACATAGTTTTTTTTATAATGTTACCTACTCTACATTACCATTAAAGTTTTATATTAGTTTCTGTGTTTTATAGAATCTTAATGTAGAATAAGTTGCTTATTCTTAAAGCATGCAATACTTCACATTTATTAAGGACTTCACTCCAGAAAACTTTTCTTCCACTTGGCATAGCATCATGAACTTCAGGTTAAAATGATTGCTTTATAGATGAATTGAAACCACATTTCTGTGGGGAAAATACTTTAAATGGTTGATTATTCTCATTTTTATTTTAATCTAAAGCTGGTTTCTACAAAGATAGAACAAAACCGTGAAAGAATTAATGACTGCTTAGAACAAGAAAATTACCTGATCATAAATGATGGAAAACAGGTTTTGTTCAGTGTTGTCATTATCACACTGGTGCTATTTAAATAAAGCAAGTGACATTAAAGGAAGGAAGCCTGCTGAAGAGAGCAGCAATTCAATGGGCAGGGTCATGAGCGCCAGCTCGGATAACAGATCTCCTTGCCCTGGCTGCACCTGCAGCATCTGCTTTTATTTTCATTTCAGGGTAGAAATTTTTTAAATGAAAATAACGTTTTAACAGTTACAGAAAAAAAGAAACTTTTCATAAGCAGATTGAATTTTCTGTTGTGAGTGGGGACTTGTTGTTGACTATTACAGAGTCGTTCTGTGAAGATCAGACTGTACTTTGTATAAAAACAGGAAGAACTAGACTCTGCTTTATTCTTCATGGACTCCAGCTGAGTGATAACAGTCCTTGTTCATTACCTATGTGGGCAGTTTTATATCTACATAAAGTGAAGTATGTACCACTGAATGCATATTCATGAATGAGGAAGACCAGTCTTCTGCCAAGTGAATGGAACTGGTTGTGTCAACAGTGACCACCTGTATTTTGATTTAAGAAAAAAAATGCAAACACTTCCCATTACTTTAGGACCTTTGGATTTTATTTAATGTAAATTTATTAGTTACTTTCTATGAAGAAACTATGGGTTATGATGTAATTAAAGATCAGGCAAAAATGTCATTAGTAGGTAGCAAAGAAAGTTTTAATTTTATGAGAAATGACATGGATTTCACACATGGGTATAAATTCTCTTCTCATAGCTTGTCTGGATGCCCTCTCAATGCACAAGCTATCAAAAAGGTCAAGGTCTCTGAAGAACTAATGACCATCAAGCTCAAAGCAACTGGGGGTAAGTCACCATCTCAGCCAAGGTCTATCCAGCAGATCCCACTGCTCTCTGAAAACGAAATCTTCACTATAGCAAGGCATACTTTCAGTATGTGAGAACAAAAGAATTTCCTCAGATTTGAGCTGCAACTGTGACATTGCAGAGACAATTTCTTTGTGTTTCCTCTATTATTTAATAAGGCTTTCCTGCAAAGAAAGGTATTAAAGACACACAGATAAGTTAAGAGACACAATAATTGTGTTCTTCAGTGTTTTCAATGTTAGCTTTTCTCCTAGGAACATGTGTATATGCATATACATGTGTGTGCTTATGCATGTCTGTAGGCTTATGTGCACACATGTGTGCATGTATATGTGTTTCCAGTATATGTTATTCATCAAATTTCAATATCCACAATTTCTAGCATTGGTATTTGAATCTTTAAATGTTTTCTATTTAAAAACAGATGTTTTTATGGTGACTCTTGCTGCCCTAGTATCTTTATCTGTTTCTCCATCGAATCCTCAGTGTCAATCCCTTGTCAACATTAAGGCATATTAATTTTGAGTTTATAGGAAGCTCCAATTATTATTTTGGTACTTGAATATTTTTCCAATATTTCTCTCATCATTGTTTTAGTTTCTCTCAGGCTGACTTTCTTCCCTTCAAAGCATTAGATATACGGTGGCAAAGCAACACTGTTCTTTAGAAACTGTATTTGATGTTTTCTTTGCTACATGATCAGAGCTGAGTTAGAACCATTTTTCTTTTCCTCTTTGGTGCAGGAGATGGAACCCTAGGCCTCTGCTTGTTGAATGTGCACTATAATGCCATGTTCAACCTGGGGACTTTAAATCGTTCTCAAATTTCTTTTCTGAAAGTTGTTTTGCTTATTTAATGTGGGAGATATATGATATCATGGAGAAACGAGCTCTCTCAAGCTGCCTGTCAATTCCGACTCAGGAACATCTTTATCTGGGTTATCTATAGCGTCGTTGGGTGTTTTTCTCATTCCCTTGCTTCCCACTGGTAAGACTTTGGGAAACTCACTATCCAAGCTTAAGCCCCTAGATGTTAGGGACAGACCAGCATCCTCCACCATTGCCAACACCCACATACTAAACAGCTGAGCTTTGCCCGGAACTCTGCCTGTTTCTTAGAAGCACCCCACTCTTTCAGTTCCTCTCAATACATTGTCAGTGAAATTGGGACACTTTAATGTGTGTTTACGTCACCTTAGTTCAAACATATATAAAGAGTAGAGAGCTCTGATATGTACTCACTCATAGAAGGATACTAATGTAAAACAAAGATGACTAGACTGCTACTCACAACTCCAGGGAGGCTACCTAGAAAACAGGACCCCAAGAAAGACACAGGGATCTCCCAATGACAGAGAAATGGATGAGATCTACATGAACAACCTGGACATGATTGGGGGTAATGAAGGGCAAGGGTCGAGGGAAAGAGAGCTTAGGGGAGCGGGAGATCCCAGCTGGATCAAGAACAGAGAGGGAGAACAAGGAATAGGAGACCATGGTAAATGAAGACCACATGAGAATAGGAAGAAGCAAAGTGCTAGAGAGGTCCACAGAAATCCACAAAGATACCTCCACAATAGATTACTGGCAGTGGTCGAGAGACAGCCCGAACTGACCTACTCTGGTGATAGGATGGCCAAACACCCTAATTGTCGTGCTAGAAACCTCATCCAATGACTGAGAGCACCAGATGCAGAGATCCATGGCCAGGCCCCAGGTGGAGCTCCAGGAGTCCAATTGGCGAGAAAGAGGGGGGTTTGTATGAACGAGAATTGTTGAGACCAAGGTTGGAAAAAGCACAGGGACAAATAGCCAAACAAATGGAAACACATGAACTATGAACCAATAGCTAAGGAGCCCCCAACTGGATCAGACCCTTTGGATAAGTGAGACATTTGATTAGCTTGATCTGCTTGAGAGGCATCCAGGCAATGCGACCGGGACCTGTCCTCAGTGCATGTGATGGGTGTTTGGAACCTGGGGCTTATACAGGGAGGGACACTTGGCTCAGCCTGGGAGGAGGGGACTGGACCTGCCTGGACTGAATCTACCAAGTTGAACTCAATCCTCAGGGGAGTCTTTGCCATGGAGGAGATGGGAATGGGGGGTGTGCTGGGGGGAAAGCGGGGCAGGGGAAAACAAGGGAATCTGTGGCTGATATGTAAAATTAAATTAAATTATAAAATAAAATTTAAAAAAAGAGTAGAGAGCACAAAGCTCACTGAATAAACATACAATATGGTATTCATATGTTTTCCTTGATCCATAGCAACACCCGGCTATTCTAACATTATACCAAGGAAGCCCTTAAAGGAGCACCATGGGTGTACATCTTATTATGCTTCCAAATCACATTAGACATCTGTGTGTAGAGGTGACATCGTTCTACCTCCAATGTCCAAGACTACAGTGGATTCCAAACCACACATAATGCCATCTCTATATGTACATACCCTGCTGCAGTTTAATTTACAAAATTTGGCACAGTAAGAGATTAGCAACAAATAAAAATAAAATAGAAGAATTACAACAACCTACTATTGTAGCTAGAGTTTTCCTGCCTGGCCCACAGTCAGGACAAATCTCTCTCACCTGCCAGTCCCACAGCCGCTCAAACCCAACCAAGTAAACACAGAGACTTGTATTGGTTACAAACTGTATGGCCATGGCAGGCTTCTTGCTAACTGTTCTTACAGCTTAAATTAATCCATTTCCATTCATCTATACCTTGCCACATGGCTCGTGGCTTACCGGCATCTTCACATGCTGTTTGTCATCGTGGCGACTGGCAGTGTCTCTCTGACTCAGCCTTCCACTTCCCAGCTTTATTCTCCTCCTTGTCCTGCCTACACTTCCTGCCTAGCCAATGGCCAATCAGTGTTTTATTTATTGACTAATCAGCAACACATTTGCCATACAGAACATCCCACAGCATACTATAAATGCAAGTTTTTAAAAATCTTAGGGGCTAGTTTTGGAAATTTCCATTGAATATATTCTGTCTAAAGTTGAGCATGAGTAAGTGACATTCTAGATAATAGAGGCCCTGAATAAAGCTATGGAAGATATTCTGGAAGCAGAAAACTCATGTTTAAATCACCTTCCATTTCTGCCCTTGAAACTCTTCATATACTCCTTCCCTACTCTTGTTCAAATTTATGGACAATTTTGTGAGTCAGTTCTCCCATTCTTGTTAATGCTACTGTACTGCATACTCCAAGCTGGTTGTCTCAGCCTCTCATCTTCCCATAGGAATACTGGTATTACTGTTGGGTGCTGTGATATCTAACTTTTTATGTGGATTCTAGGAATCAAACTCATGTTGACAGACTTGAGCAACAAGCACTTATACCTGCTGAGCCATGTTTCTTGCCCTGGTAAACTCTTCTTGAGTTCTCTTCCCATGGCCATACTTTCCAATAAGCCAAGGAACCATTTGTTATTGGGAATCATCCAGATCACATACCCTTGGTTAAGTAGCTGTGTTCTTGTTAGTCAACTTTCTACTGTGATTATGTCTGAAATCATGAAGTTAAAAGACCTGAGGTTTGTGTGGGCACATAGCTTTGGAGGTCCCAACAATTGTCACTGCTGTGAGCTTGTGATGATGCAGGGCATCATGGTAATGAAATGTGCCAGAGCAAAACCACTCACCTTATAACCATGATGCCAGGAAAGAGGAGGCCAGTGTTTCATGATCCCTTAAAGGCATATCCTACAATTACCCAAAGCCCTCCCACAGGGCCTAACATCTTAACATTTACACAATCCCCCCCAGAGATTACCCTGGAGTCCATGCTTTAACTCATGGGCCTTTGGCATCATTCAGGATTCAAACTATAGCAGTCATCTTCATTAACAGTAAGTATCAGGGAAACATAACCTTAACTGAATCCCATTACCAATCTCTCTCACTTAAAGAGACTTTTCAAAAGCATCTCATAACATAGTCAAAATTGAACATCTCTTCATCCTACTGAAAGCTGTTCTTCCCATTGTGAAGACTGCTCATTGTAACTGTATCATTTGTTACAGAAAAATAATCACCATAGCATCTTTCTTATCACATCTCCTATTCAAATCCATCACAAGTCTATCAAATTCTGCCTGCACATCATACTTTGAGCCCTTCTCTTTCCCTTATTTCTTATTCCATGGTCATGGGTCAGAGGCTGAGACCTAACCAGGACTCCAGGAATAATCTCTCAGCTATCTTCTGTCTTCTGCTCTGCCTCACCATCTGTTCTGTCTCCACAAAAACCCAGATGTGTTTTTAAGTTTCAGCCAGATCACTGGAGATGCAGCTCAGGAGTATAGCACTTTTTTTTGCATGTACAGGCCCTGCATTTGTTTTCCAGCACATCAGGAAGGAAGGAAGGAAGGAAGGAAGGAAGGAAGGAAGGAAGGAGGGAGGGAGGGGGGAGGGAGAGAGGGAGGCAGGCAGGCAGGCTGGAAGGTTGATGGAGAGATAGAGGTGGGGAGGCAAACACAGCAACTTTCTGCCATAAAATCCTTCCTTGGATCC